TAATAATAATAATAATAATAATAATAATAATAATAATAATAATAATAATAATAATAATAATAATAATTTTATTAACCTACACTTCTGCGTAGAGGGAAAGGAGGGTTATTATCACCACCAATTTCCCAAAGAAATCAGTTTTGACATGCAAGAAGTTTAAACAAACCCTACCAACAAAGACCTAATCCATCTGCTAATGGATCGGCCCATCCCCATAGCGCGCACACCACAATCCCAACGCCTTGATGGGAAACAAAAACTTATAACTCGCGTACTCAATCGCGCATGAATGGTTAAACACGCCCTCCGGTTCCTCAAACACCCACTCCCCATTCTCTTTTTGCCGCTCCATCAACACCTTCACCCCGCGCGCTATCACTGTGCGGTCCGGGTACTGCGCGAGCAACAATCCGATTACGGCCCAGGCAGTTTGCACGACCAACGCCGCACGCGTCGAAACATATGTATGGGTTTCGCATGACTTCATGCTCTCGCCCCAGCCGCCATCTATGAGCTGGCGTGCAACCAAAAAGTCGCACCCCTTCTTGACCGTGGCATCATTCTGATACGTACGTCCGACAGTTTCCAACGCCTCAAGTGCAAACATACCAGCATAGGTGAAGCAGATCCCCCAGCACCCGTACCACGAGCCGTCTGGCTCTTGCAGCGATACAATGTAGTCAATCGCGTTAGCAATCGCAGCGTCAACTTCCGCGGCGCGGTAGTCATAGTGCTCCCTAAAGTAGGTCAAGCCGAGAACACAGGAGTCGGTGCACTCCACATATGGGTATTCCACCATAATGTTACCAAAAACCTCCGCCGGATTGATTAACTCCAACATAGGGGTGGCCTTGATCTTCTCGTAGGTGGAAAAGGACCCAAAGTGGAAAGACCCGGTATTCTGGAGACTCAACAAAACATCCACCGTCGCGTGCAAGCGAGTGTCTTCGATCTGCGGGAGATCGCCAAAGACAGGCGAGTTTTTCACCATGATGATTGCCTTCAATGCCTCGGCCGAGCAGTCGCTGACGGTGTAGCCCTGCGTCTTGGTGGAAAACGGCCAACCACCGTCGCGTGCATCGCGGAAACTGCCCGGCACGCATTCGGTGTCGAACTGCGAGTGGAGCAAAAGTGTGTACGCGCGCGCAACCACGCCGCGATAACGCGGCAACTCTGCAAGCCCTGCCATGAAGAGATACTGCACCGCGAATGCCGCATCCCATACCTGCACACCGTTGGTACCCATCACCACCATGCCCTGGGGGCCGTGGAAAAGCGTGTCATTAACACGGCTGTAGAGCATTTTGTACGTCGGGGAGTCCTTGCCACCCTCGATATACGCGACAATCAAGTCGAACGCGTGCGAAACCGGTGCGATAGTCAACCCGTCGGTATTCTCAACCTCCTTCTGGATGAGCTCAAACACGCGGCGGTGCGCACGCTTCAACAACCAGTTCGGGCGGAGGTACTTCTCGTACACCACTAAGCCCGCGTTTAGGGTGTTGAGGAGCGTAGTGTGCGGGTAGTAGAGATCAACTCCGCACACGGTGTCACGGTGACGGCTGAAGTCGATGCTTGCGTAGTCCTGTGTGTAGATTTCCGTGCGGATCGCCGACAAGAGATCATCAAGCGCGCACTGCGCACGCGACAGCGAAAGATAGCCAAGAGGGAGGTAGATAGCGCGCGTATGCACCCACCAGCGCGCGGGGTGGATCGGTACCGCGTACGGAAGCATCCACATCTCTGGCGGCGCCGGGTTGACGCCTTCCCACGAGTACAAGTTCAAAAGTGCCAACCACGCCTTGCCCCAGTGCGGGTTGCCGATCGCACCACCCAAGCGGTGGAGAGTCTTACGTGCCTTGCGCACAACCACGTGTGTCGCGGGGAGCCCGAGCAAACGAAGAATCACGTAGTTCATCGTGGTCCCGAAGCAGGTTGATTTGTCTACAGAGTGCAACCCCCAGCCGCCATCCACGGGGTGCGCCGTGTTGACAATGTAGCGGATGAGCTCAATTTTGATGTGAGCTGGGATTTCCGTTTTCGTAAAGTAGTGCGACGCGACGTAGCCGATCGTCATGAACATCGGGCCTTTGTACTGGCACGGAAACACCCCCGAGTCCTCCTGGAGAAGTGCGAGGAAGTCCGCACCATTCTGTGCAGCGGCAAACGGTGTCCGCGCACGCAACGGCTTCGGCGCCGGAAATTCGGGCACCTGGAGAAGGTGTTGCACGTAGGTAGACTGTGGTTCGAGCGCAGCCTCTTCCGGCGAGAGATACGCCCAGAGTTCGCGTCCGAGGCTATCGGTGCGAAGCCGCCACAATGAAGGGTCTGTGCGTTCGAGGCCAACTGTCTCGGAGTAGTAGGTGGTCATGGCCAATGGCAGAAACAAGAAAGGGGGAAAAGAGAAGGAGAGAAGAAGGAAGGAGGAGAAGACGCGGAGAAAAATATATGCGCGAGCGATCGTATGGCTCGTAGCGGGTGCGCCGCGCGCGAGAGGCAGGGATCTGAAAGCATATCGATCTGTGCCAAACTTGACATTCAACGTTGTGAGATCAGACTTTTCGGGATGATATTGGATCCAATCACCTAGTCGATTGTATGTATAGCAGTTATCGCTTTATTTGTTTCTTTTTTGATGAGAATGTGGAACGAGGGTCCATTGGGATTACCGTACGTCTTGAGGTACCTGAATCATTCGGGGTGGATATGGGGTGGCACTTAGCCATGTCTTGGGCCGAGTGAACCAGAGCGATGTTCTATTACATATTTATAGATTTCCATTAAACACTTGGAATTGGTTATGGCTGACACTGACCGTCATTTTGGCGTGAGAAGGATCTGTGAGCTCGCTACTGGTTCATTTACAGAAATGGCTATATGGATGGAAATAACCTTGTTCAAGCATTGAGGCTGGCTATATGCATCCGTGGACAACCCACTTCTGATCAGACATTCCTTTTTTATTTAGCAAATAGTGAAACATCTCTGAGATTCAATGATAGCCCTCCGTCAAAAAAACAGCAAACGAAAAAACCAAAAAAAAAAAATACTAACCCCATTAGGAATAAATTTACCGGTTCAGTCTCCATTATTAACATCCTGGATAACGTCTCCTCCTAATGCCAACGCTGGTACTCCTCTTATTGACCTTCCCTGTCACCACTATCGTGCTGGCCCCCGTATCACTCCTTCTCAAGGGTCATGGTTTGGGCTACTTAACCGAGGAACACAATATCTTTAACCTTATGTTTGCAGACTACGGAATCATTGTCTTTATCACCTTGTACACCGCCATATCGCTATTAGAAATAAAATACACGGAGACAGACGTGTCATTTCACGCGGTTTTGGTACGCCAGACTCTGAAACTCGCCGGATATGTGGCCTACGCTGCTGGCTTGTACTTATTTCTTATTCTCCCAATCTACCGTTCCACAGGCTTCAAGATAAGTGGGCACTTGTTTGGTCTTTCGTTACTTCTGCTCACAACTGTGATTGAACTAGCACGAGTCAAAGGCCTACCCCGCGACGATTCATCTAGCAAGATTTTCAAAAGGATAACGGTAGCAGTTCTAGCGGTGTGTGCTGTTTGGTACCTATTATTCTTGATAACTTGTGTGTTTTTCCACACTTTCCCGGAAAAGCTCTTGGGATTGGCCCTTGGTATGGTCCCTCCGGTGGTTTTGTGTATTAAAAGCCCCGACTTGGATTTCTTGTCTGTGTTTCAAATAAGTTAAGGGACTCGAAATGATGTAAATAACTGCCAGTATAAATTCAATTTCACACCAATTTGGTAGATTAAGATGCTTGAATATCCGCAGAGAATAAGCTATGGTGGAGGAAAATACAAGTCACTGAAAGTTATCGTCCTTTGGTATGGAACGATACCTATACGCCTGCGTTGTATACTCCCATAAGTTTTCCTTAAATCTCGTTCGACTCTAAAACCTACACGCATTTCGGACATCCAGCGTATTCTGGGATTAATAAAGTACAAACTGAAAAACGGAATCATATATACAGGGGCCCTCGGAGCGCTGGGCTTCAAAGAATCGGTTATTCCAACACTAAGCTGGGTGCATTGTGCTTGCCTTACTAAGAGATAGCTCAGCTTATTTAGCGCTCTTCTTTGGCTCACCGTAGAACTTGGCGAAATCCATGCCGAGCGAGACCGCACCTCTTCTCTTTTTGTACTCGGTAAAGAGAACATGTCTGGCGGCGACTGGGTCGTATCTAACCTGTTTCACTGGTGGAGCGGTACGTAATCTGAAGCAGTACTTCATGAAACCGGTACCGGCGGAGGAAATCAACTTGATGACAGTCTTCTTAGACTTCGCTTCTAGACAGGTGTTAGTAGGGCTGGCAGGAAGGATTTACCAGGGTTCGTCTAGAAAGATGATCTGGTTTCGAAAACTGAGTCAACATACTGGCCATTTTGCGTATTCGTGGGTTCTGAGGTCTAGAGGTCGAACTGGAGCTTGATCTTAATGGGTGTGAATTTTTCACTGTGCACTATATACATTCGAGGTGGCCGGATGCAGAAGGATATTGAATTTCCGTATTTGGTCGTGCATGCATGTGTGGTATAACTGGTGCGTCGCCGAGAGTAGGGCATGGAGACAAATCAAAGTCAGTGACGGGTCTAACGTTAAGACAGCCCAGACTATTCAAAGCCACTCTATGCGTGTATGGTGGGCCGAATATGATTAGTTTTTCAACCAGCCGGTTGTAAGAGTGACACTGCTTTACACACAGATACAAATACATAAATAACCAAGAACAGATCGATAATTACCAGGAAGAGCACAAACCTGATGCGACAACGATCTTCAATCAATATTTCTGGGAAAATCTTCATTATTAATCGCTAAATCACTTAAATATCTGGAAAAGATAAACTTCCTCTTATTCTCCTTCCCCCTCCATCTCCTCCCTTGCAGCTTCAACCCCGAAGAAGTTTTGCCCCAAGTGCTCGAGCACGTCCCAGCCATAAGCATTAACAAAGCGCCGCCTTACTACGATATTATTGTGTGAATCCGGCTGCAACGCAACCAAGATCTTCCGCCATGTCACGTCCGCATGGTACGCATTCGCAATCTCATACTGCTTGTACGACTTGTGCGATGACAACATCCGTCCGAGTTTGCTCTTCTTGGAGTGGTGAAATTTGATGGCGGAGGCTGGATAGTAACGGTCGTGGAAGACCGTTTCAGGCCGGCTGGAAGGATCGAAGAGGTACTCAGTAGAGGGCATTGGGGCGTGTAGCACTCTGACGGTGGAGATGAACGCCAGCGCTTTTGGCGGAATATTGAGCTGGATCTCTCCTTCATCCATGCTGGCCTCGTCCGGTTCTGATTCGAGATTTCCAAGACTGTGAGCCAGGATTTTCTTGTAGTGGTGTTGTTTCCGCGTCCGGTGCGCCTTGGCGATCGTCAGCGACAGCCGGGAGGGGGTGGAAAACTTCTCCCGGAGGTAGCGGCTGATAGATTTATGAGGAGGATCGTCTCTGGGCGCGACGTCTGTGACGCTATCGCTGGAGGGGTCGGGGGCGGACAAGCCATGCATGCTGTTGGCGTTCTCACGTGCATCCGCTTCTTTCCCACTCGCATTCGCACTCTTACGCCTTCTCCCTTCCAGGTCGCCCCTGTTACTCTCCCTAATCTTGGAAATATCATCCAACGCCTTCCAATCAAGATACAACAACGATGCCGTGCGTAAAGGCACAATCCCATCGTTAACCACATTTGCGTACAACGTCAACTTTTTACACTGCTTCAACCATCCATGCAACGGATCCAACGGAAGAATCTCCAAAAGCGGCTTCAAATGAATATCGTGCTTCTTCGTGTACTCCGCTAACATCGCCTCATACCGCGTAAGATCTGTATCCGCGTCAGTCTCCACCTCATCTGACTTTAAAGTATACGAATGGAGTCCTGGGCGCTGATGGCAAAGCGATAGGTCCCGTCCAGTCTTCCCTAACGCTCCTAGATCGAGAAATACCGTCCAGAAACGCGACATTTCAGATAAGATCCCGAGCATTGGCGATGCGATACACATAAAGTTGACGGGAGTCACACGCGCGAGGAGTTCAGGATTGGTAAAGAGCACGTAACGAAGCGCGTACGCTTGAACAGGCCCTCCAAGCGAGTGGCCAATGAATGAGATGCGTGCGATAGTGTAGGGCGTTGCACGGAGCGTTGCGACGAGATGCTGCGCCACGCGGATGCCAAGCCACTTGATACCTTTTTCCGTGTGGCCCGCATTGCCGCGGAAGCCGCGCACCATAACGTTTGCATGGCCGTGCGCGACAACGTGCGCATAATGTTCGATCGATTCCTTGAGGCTGAGCATGTCCGCAGTGAGGTTGGAGAAGAGGCCATGGGTGATAAAAACAAGGTGGACGGGCTGGGAGGGGAAGGGGGGTGGGAGGGACCACAAATCATCCGTACTCTGCTTCATAACAGTCAAGCCAGTGGGGGAGTGGGTGGAGCCAGCTGAGGTATCTGCTGTATTACCAGCCGATTCATTGGTAAGATCACTAGACTGGTTGGTCGAGCTATCAGTCGCGTCTTTGGTGACATTATTAGTGCAAGTTAAGCCAATGGAATAATCCACTAGATCATCTGTAGGACCATCATCTGCAAGATCAGCGAGATTATGGGAGGCATCTCCAGCTGAACCATCGAGGCATTCACTGTCGGACGCATTAGACTCTTTGGCGGATCCACCGGTTTGTCCATGTGGAAGGACGTTGGGGTCTGCAGTAATACCACTCACTGGATTGATGGGGCGATTGGGGGCATTAGTGGTGCTGTCGTGGTCTGGGCTAAAGCCTGTAGAGCTAAAGTCGGAGAAGAAGCCATTAACTTGATTGGGGGGTTCTTTAACTAGAACATCACCCGGGGATTTAGAGTTGACACAACCAGATATCGGGACAGATAATTGGCCGTCTTTACTTTTCATCTCATTAGTGCTGTCTTCACGGCGAGCTTCCACCAACGGGTCTTCCGAGAACACTTTCTGGATAAGAACACTCTTGTGGATCTCTTCTGAAGTGAAAACTCTGGCAGTATCACCCCTTGTTTTGATATCTCTCGCTTTACCTAACTTTATTTCCCCGTTATCATCCATGCTGTTTTTGGTTTGATTGGAATATGACAGAACGAAAGCTTTGGTGGTCTCATCGACGATTTTTGCTTCCTTATTTGCTGCGACATTACAACTAGGGTCACTCTCGTTACCCTTATCACCCTCATCACCTTTGTCACCCTCATCACCTTTGTCATCCTTGTCACTTTGAACAGCCGCTATCGTCTGAATCGATTCCTTAGCTGGTGCTCGCGAGTCTCTTGTAGTTTTCAGCGAGAATTTCATATCCTTCATATCCGCCTTCGGCAAGTGCTTGTGCGTCTTTAATTCTTTCCGGTCGAGCCCAAATGCTAAATCGTACACAATCCCGACCTTCTGCGATGTCACAATCTGCGAAATCACATCTACCGTCCACTCCCAAACTCCCGTGCTCCGCTGTGAGTTGCGATTTACGAGTAGAGTTGCGTTCCACGCCTCGCCCGGCTGTACGCTGAAAGCGTACTTCACCTCAAGGTCCTGTTTCGGGTTCACCGGCTCAAACTTGGTCCGCGAAGAGAACTGGAAAGGCCGCACATCGCAGTAGAGCAAAAACGGACCATTGAGCACGGCCGCACGGAGTGCAAGCGACTCACGATTGTGCAAGCGCAAGTAGAGCTGTGTTGCGGGAACCGTACCGGGCTCCGGCGCGTAGGTGAGCGTGTAGCGCGCGACGTCGCCGATCAGCGCGGTGCTCAGGTCGCTGTAGATGATCGAAGACATGGTTCACGGGTATTTCTCTCTCGATGGTTGAATCCGTGTGTACATAGCGGGTGGTGTTTGTATATATATGGCAAATGTTGACCCAAGTAGATTGCGATGGTCATGCATGTGAGTTGCATGGGACTCCGAACGCATCCGAAGTCCCAAGTATGCAGGGCATACCTATGACGAGCATTAGCGTAAATGGGCTGGATATCGTGAAGAGAGGTTGGTATAAGACTGGGGGTTATCCACCATGGATGCTGTGATAGTGGTCAATAAGTAGCTTCATTGACTTTTCTGAACTATTTGAGACTAGAGTTGACTTTCGCAATCGCCATTATCAGCGTTTTGTATATGTATTATTTCTTTCGAGGTTAGGACCTGGTTTTTTTTAGTCATAAGTACTGGTCAAGATTGAGATTTTTTTTAACATTAGGGCCCTATATATCAAACTACGGGGCATAGAAATAAACGGCCTTTAAGGTCCAAAAAACTGGTCAGACAAGCTTAGGTGACACACGCTTGGGCGCAATTTCCTGTATCAGACATCAGCCCACGCCGAACCTTCCAGCTTAGGGTAACTCACTTAAGTGGAAATTGACTGGCTCCTTTACAGGGACAGTAAAGCGCTATAACTAGTCAATAAATCGATTAAACAGAAGTAAAATATCACTACTTATGCATTTTATGGTGTAGCCCTGGGTGACTGTTTCTGAGGTGAACGCTTTACCTTCCGCCCTTATGACGTGCGCACACCGACATATTTCTCCGCCATTTTGCATCTTCGGCGGCTAACAAAAGCAGATCTCATCATACCATTGAAAGGGGACTGTAAACTTCAACGAATTGCATTTAGAAGAGCCAAAGTTCCTTGAAGCTAGCTTGCGTCAAAGGTTCACCACCATCTATTTATTACAAGTGACACTACCGTCAATCCAGCATCAATCCAGCGCCATCAATCCAGTGCCTGAATTCGATTCCCTACGATTGGCATCACAAAGACCATTCTCCTGTCTCCCTCATCGGAAGAAAGCTTAGCTATATCCAAGATTTGCATCCTATTTGATCAGCTTGGCCCAATTGTTATAAGGGCCATCAGTTTGCCAAATTCCTGAGACTTTACTTCTAGTGGAAAGGCTCCCTTTCCATAGTCAAGACTGGCCGTCCTATAATCGAATTAAGCTGGATACTCAAAAGTGCCACTAATACGTCTGCCATAGGAGATTGCCGTTCCTACGTTGGATATCTGAATTTTCATCTATACTTTCTCAGATCTGCTTGGCTCTATAGCCGTTCATCCCAGTCTGGAGCTATATTTACCCCCCAACATACGTGAATTCCCAATCTTACTCAAAGCCACTAGATCGTTTCTGACAAGTGCTTTAGCTCACCATCCAGAGCTACGAGATAAAACCCTGAAATACTAATCCGTTAAATCAGATCCGAGGTGTCTAACCTTCATAAGGCAGCTCTTATTTTGCGGCCGCTTTCCCCCTGATTCGCACCATCCCAGTTCACTACAATAGATCCCCCCCTTAGCATCTCACCATTGAGTCTGAAATGTCTACCAACTATGCAAAACTCGCCCGCCTTGCGCAAGTCAACTACTCCATCTATACCTCAGCTAAGGCTGACGACCAGTCCGTGCTTGAGGCCGAGCTCCTCCTCCGCTCGCACACCCCAAATGTCCTCGCCACCTACTATGCCAAAGAGCTCTGGGTCTACTCCCTCAACGACACACCCCTTCCTGCCATTCCTGCCTCGTACCACCTCAAATTCCAGAGCAGCGGCACCATTCCTCCGCTGAAGTTCTTCCAGAAGCTGGCGCCACCCGCAGAACTGCCCAACTTCCAGTTCATCCACCTCACCTTCATCAAGTCCGTCAAGAAGCTTGTACTCACACGTTTGACCTTGGAAAAGGCCGTCGCTCCCTTCGGAAACCACTGCGTGTCGCTTCTTCCGGCCGACCGCCGCTGCGTCGTGCTCATCGACCCGATCCTCACCCCACAAGGCGACCTCTACCTCAACATCTGTAGCAAGGAGCACCACCTAAGGACCTTCAAGGAACTCCCATCAGATAGCTCGGATCCCGAAGACGTCTCTGAACGGGCCTATGCAATCTATCTCATACCCTCGGGGATCCGTGCGCACTTCGCAGACGAAACGCTCCAAGAATCACGTGCGGCGCCGCCTGCGAACTACGCGCAACTCGTGCAGACACTCCGCCTCGCGCTGGCACTCCCGCTCCCACTGGACCCGGCGCAGCTCACGTGGGTGCGCCTCGTGCCGAACCTCAACCACCTCAACAACCTCACACCCGCCATCTGTCAGTTCCTTCAGAATGGCTTTGCCAATACGAAGCTGGTTATCTGGCCGCTCGAGCTCTGCTACGTCCAGGGCGCGGTAGCCACTGCCGCGATGGAGATGGCCGAGTTTTCCGACCCGCTCCGCTGGGTCGATGACTTTAGCAACTGGCAGCAACACACGAACACCATCCGCTTGGAGCACTTGAAGTTCCAATCGGCGGTCAACACGCCGATGTCCACAATGGCTACACCCATGGATGCAGCTGCGCTCGCGATGACGCTGGTGCCCGCACCGTCGACGGAGGAGGACTGGGGGAATCTCAGCGAAGAGTTGTTTGGAGACGACGGAATGGACGAGAAGGTGACCGAGGGAGACTTTAACTTTTTTGATGAATACCCGAGTGGCGAAGCTGCGAGGGATGACACCGCGAGCGAACCACGCCCAGAGGATGTTAACGATGCACGCACGGATGCCGTGACTGATACAGAGCCGGATGCTGCGAACGACACGCACGAAGATGTCGTCAATAATGCACGCGTAGACGCGAACGGAGAGGCGTGTGCTGATGCCGTCTCCGCCGCGACAAATACAGCTAGGTCTGTGCTTTCGCCTGTACCGCTTTCGCCTGCACCGCCATCTCCCGCGCTCCTAGACATCCCCATGGACAAAATGATCCAACCACCTAAAACCCCCGGTTGCTACCGCGACCCAGGCGCGCCCCTTCCTATTGAGTCGCCCAACCCGCCCATGCGTCGCCAGTCGGCGTTCTCACCGCTTACGTTCAACCCTATTATCAAGAGCGGCGTGGACGCCAAGTACGTTAATGGCGGGCGTTTCTACGTGCCCGAAAAAATGGGACTGGTCACGGCAATCAGCTCAGACGAGACTGGTTCCGACAGCGATGCAGACTCGCATTCAGACGGCCCGGAGACGCATGCACACACATCCACCCCGAGCAAGCGCGCACGAGAGCCCGAGCCTAACAACAACGACGACTTGGTGCGTGGCTCACCATCTGCGTTTGCCGAGCCCTTCGACTTGAAACCTACCCTGGGCGTGTCGTCTACTGCCGCACTGCCGAATATAGACGAAAAGCCCGTGAAGCGCGCGCGTGGTGAGGGGTCCTTGGCGTCCACCAACTGGCTCCCTCTTCTCCTTCGCTCGATCAATGTGTTCCTGATTCCCGACGTGTTTTACACCGAAAACCCAACCATCCGCTTTAACGAGTTGAATGACTTGTTGCCGGTGCTCGCAGACGGGTTGGTTTGGGACGATGGATTTTTGGGTGAGGCAGAGTCGTGCGAGTTTGGCGCGGTATCCGTGGGGTTCCGTGAGGTGTTTGCACGGTGTTTTGCTTCGCGCGGTGTGGAGTTGAATGAGTTGGTGGGGGGCGGGGACGGCGAGCTGTGGGACTTCCTCGGCACGAGCCTAGACGAGGTGAAGCCGAGCCTTGGAGAAGTTCCGGGCGAGACCAATGGTTTTCCGGGCAAGGCCAATGGCGACCAGGTGACTTCCCCCAGCCCTTCGCCTGTCCCGGGTTTCTCGCCTAGCCCAGAGCTTACCATTTTCCCAGGCACGGTTACTGGTGCGTCCTCGCCTTCGCTCATCGAATACCCCCAACCCTCCTTTAAACTTAAAAAGCTCAACCAGGCTGTCAAAATTAAACCCACTGGTGTCCAGCTCTGGAAGTACCTTGGCCTCAACCCCCTCTCCGGCCCCAAGAACCTCCGTATCCTCCTTGTCTCCCTCACAGCGACCGCCGCCGAAAGCCGCTACTTTCTCTCCTCCGTCATACAGCACTACGGCCACTGTAAGCTCGGAGCTATTTCGCTCGTGGGCGACGGAATTCTCAGCATCCCCGCGCCTTCCGGTGAAACCGAGTACTACGAGCTCGTCGGTGCGCGCCTCACCGAGCTTGCACGCACGCTCCAGGAGGAGTACGTGGCGCTTCCCGCTGATGCCCCGGAACGCGAACAGCCAATCGTGCTTTTGTTTGCGGACTTTTTCGGCGGTGCGCGCGCGGTCGTGGAGACCGCGCGCCTCACCAAGGTGTTTGAATTCAACGTGACGCTCTTCCACAAGAAGAAAGACCGGCTTCCAATCCGTGTCGTGCAGCACGTGGTCCCGGGTGACTTTTTCGCCCAGCCCGAGACAATTTCGGTAATCTCAGCCGCGCGTCTCGAACGTTTCGTGCTCACAATGTACAACAAGATTCCCGGCGCGCCGTTTGCGACGCTTCTGAAAACACTTCCGAAGAGCATCGCCTTCCGTGTGGGATCGCATCCGAAGGCCTCGCTTATGTCTGAGGATGTCTACATTCATTTGGCGTACGAGCGGTCGATTGACAAGAACTGGTGCGTGGCCGTGTGGCTGGACCAGTGGGGTAGTTCGCGGCTGACCAAGGCGTGGTACTGCTCGCCCAGTCTCGGTAAGCTCGGCAACCCGTCGACGGGGCTGATTAAGAGCTTTGAGGACGTGTCAAACGACATCTGGCAGGAGACGTTGCGCTTGACGCGTGGGCATGGGGGTAACAAGTTCTTGGTGCTCACGCGGTTGAGCAATATTATTCCCGATGATGAGTTGGTTCAGTGGCGGCGGTTGTCGTCTAATAACAAGAATAAAGACCTTTCGTTGATTGTGATGGCGGTAAACCCAAGCCTGAAGACATTGGTGCGCGCGCAGCGACCGGATGCGTGTGTGCTCGGCATGCCACATACGGCGTACGAAGACACGGACGCGACGTTGGTCGACCTTGCGGACGCGGTCAGCGGTGCTGTTTTACGCCACCCGTTGGCGTTGTCGAATCAGCAAACGCGCATGGCTCTCCAGACCGGCCTTCTCATGAAACCAGCGTCGGACTCCGATGATATGCTTGTGTTTGAGCTCAATTTGTTGAGCTGCTCGGGAAGTTGCAGTTCTACCGAATTGCTCCGCGCGATGATGGCTCAGTACCGCAACTTGGCCGCGTTGAGCGCGGTGTGGGGTGTCGCACGCGAGCCGTCGCTTGTCCCGTGGCACGTTTTAGCCGTGCAGAAGTGTCTCCGCTTCTTGGTGCATCTTCGTGTGGAGCAATAATTATAGGTTTATATTCATGGCTGGTGTCTATTCGTATTGTAATGGGGTGTGATTTGTTAGTGTTTCGTGTAATACCCTTGCTCTATAAAATATGATTGATGACATGGCAGTGAAACTCTAAATGCATTTTAATCTAAAACTCCAGATGCATTTTAATCTGAAACTCTAGATGCATTTTAATTGATGGTACTTGTCAATACCTGGCTTACCGGTTTTTAACCTCCTAACGATTTGTCCCTTTAGCTTTAATTGGTTAACGAAGTAGGTATTTTTTGGGATACATAATTCCTGGTCAATTCCTGAAGATAGTATACAAACAGGGCTTACTACTTGTAAATTTGTATGTATTGAGGACTCCAACCAAGCCAATAAGCTCAAGAATCAAAGAGCCTAGATCACGAATCGACTCTAAGCTCGCCCGAGATTTCGATCTCCACTACACAGATCCCGTTGCTCGTTAATTATGTGCGTATACACGAAAAAATGAAGGGGCAGGAACCACCAGAAAATAAAGAAAATGCCGTTAAAATAACAAAGATATTAATCCTGGAATACATCAAACTTGGAATGAGGTCCCCGCGCGCGAGGCGACATAAAGTCGTCGCTTAAACGATGGGTGTCGTCATTGGACTCACCAAATATAAGTCGTTTTGGCCTATACTCTTTGCGTTCCTGCTCATCCAACTGCCGTACAACCTTTCCGCCTCGCTTGTTGATATACGTGATGGATGTTTTCTCATCCGTGAAGGAGCTTCTGGGAGGTTTGGCGTTGCCAATGAACGGATTGACAAGCAGTTTACGTCTGATATGAGCCTCCTCCTCCTCCTCGTCCGATGACCATTGGTTCTTGTCGTACCACTCCGCCGCCAACTTGTCTGTGATGATGTTCTTCTGTGGCGTGGCGGGACACGAGAACGGCGATGACTCGAGCGGTGATGTGGAGCGGGCATGGCTGAAGGACAACTTTCTTCCAGGGGGATCAAACAGATCTTTCACCAGTGAATGATCTGTAAACAGTGGATGCGCCATCGTGTCTTTCTTTGCGAGCAGAAGCGCCTGCTCCAACTCCTCCTCCTCGTCCGAGCTGATAAAGACTCCCGTCCGAGCGCTGAGGAGCCGCGCCTGTTTGTTGGTCTTGCCCTGTTGGGTCAACGCATTGTACACTCGCCCTGAACCGATGGTGGATGGCGTGGGCAAAAAAAGCTTAGGGGCTGGCCCAATGTCTAATCTAGCGCCGAAGTCAATCGCATCAACGTCCTGTTTGCGGTTTCTGGAACCTCTTCTGGGGGTTTGCTCGGGCGAAATCATGTGTTTGTTCTGGAGGATACGCGTACTGGCCGGCGTGCGTGCCTGGAGCTTCTTGGAAAAGCTATCATGGGGGGTCTTGGGCGTGTACAAGAACGGTTTCTTGTGCGAGGCCGATGATCTGGGAGGCGTTTGCGGGACAAAGTGGTTGGACATGTTTGTAGCAAAGAACGTAGTCAAGTTAGGACTTTTCTTATCTTAAATCCGACGCTTGCACTTTAATGATAGAGAAAAATCGTGTGGTTGGCCTATATTTGTAGTCTCCTTTTTCGTGTAGAAATCTCCGCGGAAACCGACGCGTCTGTGTAGAATCAAAAGTGGCTGGCTGGCGCGCAAAAAAATTGCTGCTTTCGGTTAAATTACCTGCATGAACATCCAAGTTTACACCAAAGCAAAAGGCGTGAAAAAAAAAATCGCGATATCAAGTAGAATCAGACCAATGTATGGGGATTCCCTTCAGAAGGTTGGGATTATGAGAGAAAATAGTGTAGCAGGCTGAATCTTGGAATAGAGTAAACGTGTCTTAATGAATTTTGGAAATAGTTTTATCAAGCGGAGAAGCCGAAATAAATCGGTACAAGCTTAAGGGTCCAAGAGTTGATGGTTTACACGCAAGCCACCTATTAATCCCCCTTGTAACGACATAACATTACCCCTTGTCTATCACGCAGTAAATTAAATACTAGCCATTAATCGTATTGATAGGTTACCAACCATGTAAACCTCCCGGGTCGTACCAGTACTCTTTGATAGGCTGTTTTAGATAATAACTCTTGACAAAGCGCCAAGTTACAATATTGAACTACATTCTACGACACATACCGGAAATTTATTTTCATACCCACTCATCCTTCTAGATCTTAAACTTAGTCTTCCCATCTCTTTTCACGGGGCTAATGTCCCGTGCGCTCGGAATTTTCGCCTTACTAGGAGTATTCCTATACACCTCGTGCATGTCCTCGATGTCTCCGTCGTGAAATACAATCGTGCGGTCCGCCACACCCAACGGCTTTAACTTCCGCTTTTGCAACTTATCCGCCAGACTCGGCCGGCTGTGTTGTCTCACAATCCGCTTAAGGTTGTTGTGCTCCGGGCTCTCCAGAAGCAAGTCTACTCGCTGGAGCGAGTTGGTGAACACGGCATCCTCGGCTTCACGGGTGTCACCAAACGTCTCGTCCAAATCGTCAAACAATGGTTTCTTTTTCATAATCTGAGACGCGCTCCGGTTTATTTCTGTGACACTGGCATTTGTGACGTTCATGAGTCTGGACGTGAGGGCTTTCCCGGTGGATCCAGTAGAGGTTCGGCGCGACTGGAGCATTTTGGAAAGGGGCGACAAAACACCGTTTGGTGTTGAGGTCGCTGAGAGACCGCCTCTCGGGGAGAGTGCTGTCGCGTTTCTCGGGGACAAAAGTGGCTTGGTAATTCTGGGCCTCGTAAAGTGGGTCAAAGGCAATGGCAATCGCGATGGTGAGATGTTGCTTTTGACCCCAGGTCTGGAGGAAATCCGTTTGAGATAAGGCGACGTGGAGAATGTAGAGTGCTCGCTGGTTCGCCCCCGTGACGGGAGGGTTCCAGGGGAGATCCGTGGAGCTGTTGGTCTGACACGTGAGGGAGAAGTGATGCGTTTTTCCAGCGCCTCAAGTTTGGCCTTGAGCGTATCTATCTTACTCCCTAGCACAGACTTTTGCGTGATCACCTGCTGTCTGAGCTTATCCGCGGCAAGCTGAGATTCCTTTAATTTAACCAGTATCTGCTGGTACTTTACCTCGTACTCTGTTTTTGACCTGGGCTTGCCATCACTGGCGGTGTGCAAACGGGCGTCAGCTAAGCGGAGCTGCACGTCTTGCTGAAGAAGCGCACGGAAGAACACTGCCGTCCTGACAAGCAGTTGGCGTTGTATTTCCAAATCATTGTGGTAGGAAACTTCGGATTTAGAAGTTGCGTATCGGTGGTAGGTTTCAAAATGCTCCATTTGGGTTTAGGAAGAGAGAAATAGAGTATGAGCAGTTCGGTGATGCCTTAATGTTTGTTGTGACAGTGGCTGCAGGATAATTCGCACAGAACCGAGCCACGGTTTTGGGGCGGCTTGAGCGGCATACGTGGGACGGGAATTAATAATCTGGTGGGATGATTCTGGAGCTAAACTCGAGAGTAAGTCCAGGAATTGGTTCTATTGGAACGAGAAAATCTCAGTTAGAAAACTTTTAGGGTGTTTTTAGAAGTTTCTGGGAAGTTTTTGGAATGTTTACAGGGAGTGTGAGGTGGTAAGATAGGGTCGACGGCGTGGGTATGATACGACGTGGGAGAGACATTGATATAGAGAATCCAGAGAGCAAAATGTCATCGGTCAGCTGATGTAGCGCCTCGTGTATGCGGCAGAGGTTATAACGCCTAGACAGCTTGACTTTATTGATTGACGGCGGAAAAAAGGGGATACTCTCGGGACCCAAAAGAATAGAACTATGAGCAACTCCAACGTCAGCGGCTACGAGCCTAACAGCTTCAACAGGGCAGGCAGCAGATATTTTTCAATTCAGATCCAATTTTTCAGCACTATCCAACCGTACTTATCATGGTCTTTCAGCTGAAGAAGGAGAATAAGCTGTTGGAGCGCAAATAGACGGATTACTTAATCCAAGCTCTCCGGCGAGTGCCAGTGATATATAACTCGAGCTTGTATCAAACCATTTGACCCTGTAGCCACAAAGTGTATCGCTAACACATCTACTAGTCTATCCTACACAGCCATTCAAAGATGCATGAAATTACAAAAATATTTTACAAAAGGGCTCCGCCCCACGTCCTTGCCTGACCCCACCTATGGCGTGTCGGCGTTCGGCTCATATCCATCATCGTAGTCATTGAAGTTGCCCGGAGTCGGGGCTGCCCCAGGGGTCGGTGCGGCCCAGTCACCGGGAGTTGGAGCCACATCCGAGCTAGACGTTCTGGCGTTGCCACCCCACGCGGAACTGCCTCCCCAAGCCGACCTGTCCCCACCTCCGTACGCCGACTTACCGCCGCTTGGGTTACCCCACGTAGACCCACCACCCCACGTGGATTTGTTGCCCGAATCGCCCCAGGCGGATCCACCGCCCCAGGACGATTTGTTCCCGGAAGAGCCCCACGCTGGCGTCTTGCTACCGCCATCGTAAGCGGATTTACCGCCATAGGCCGTGAGGCCACCTGAAGCGGCGCCGGAAGAGCCCCAGGCAGGGGTCTTGCCGCCAGACTGCCAGGCAGGAGTCTTACCGCCATGGCCGCCCGTGCTCGAGGCAAAATGCGGGTTGCCCCTGCCCCCGCGGTTGCCCCCACGGCTGCCACGACTCATAAACTCTTGGTACGAGATCAAGTTCTTGTTATCATCGTAGAATCCCAAACGGTCCTTGCTGATGGTGACAATCTTGGTACGCGAGTGGAACTCCACTCGGGCAGTGTTTCCGTTGGCATCCTTCACGATCCCCTTGTTCCCCTTGTACGGACCGCTGATGATCGACACATTCTGGTTCAAGGTCTTGTCTCGGCCCATGGTGGCCATCATGGCGACCGGTGGCGGCATGTTGCCGATTTGCAAGTTTGGGTTCATCTTGTTCAAGTCGGGCCCCGCAGAGACATCCGAGATGGAGCCCTTGGCAGAAACCGTGGCAACGTTGCCCGAGGCGGTGGCGAAGATCCCCAAGTTCTCGAGGATCGTTTTGGACTTGACAAAGAGCGTGCTGCGGTGGATGTGGATGACGGCACCGTCTCTTCTCTGGCCGGAGAGCTCCTTGACGGTGTCACCGACCTTGACCTCGTGGCCGTTGCGGTCGGTCGCGATCTGCTGGTTTGGCGAGAGCTTGAGCTTCTGTGTGATGGAGGACGGCGCGACCGTGGTTGTGCGGTCGTCCTGGCCTAATACCGTAAACAATTCCCTGTCGGTCTTGATCACCACACCAAAGGCAGAGACATTCATCTGCACAAGATCCAACAAGTCGTAGTTGCTGACCGTAGTGGTGGAGGCAGAGTTTGTGCTCTTGACCAAACTGTTGGCAAACACTGTAATATCCTTGCGCGATTGGTCGGAAAGCAACGTTACGTAGTTTTCCTCAACCTTGACCACCAAACCAGTGTCGTTCGCGTGTTTTCCACTAATAACCATAACGTGGTCACCAGAGTTGAAGATCTTGCGCAAGTTGGAGATTGGAAACTCGAGCTTTGCACCGTTGAGCTTTGGCTCTTTTGAGGAAACCAACACGGTGACGATATCGGACTGCTGGGAGGCCAAGATGCGGCCGCGGATTCTGGCCTGTTCACCACTGATCACCTCCACGTGGTCACCCGGATGGAACGCGATGGACGCCTGTGACGACAGCTTCAAACTCTGTGCGATGCTGGACAAATCGATCCCGTCATCCTCTTTACCACTGTTCAACCGGGTGAGTTCCTCCAAGGTTGGTTTGACCTCGGCTGTGTCGAGATACTGGAGCTTGAAATCTTTGATCAAGAAGCCCTCGTGATACTGCTCGTTTCGATAAGCGTAGCGCTTGGCGCCAATGGCTCTGAGGCGGTCTGGCTCGTACCGTTCGGCGTCCTTCTCGCTGAAAAGGCGCGGCGCCGGTCTGAACTTGTTGCTGACCTTCTTCTTCTTCCCATCTTCATCCACGTCCGTCTGGCCGTAGTCCAACCGCGGCACCAACCGGCACTGGACCTCCAACCCGTTCTCGGAGAGGTTTGTCACCACCGCGAGATCGCCCTTGTACAAGCCACGCTTGATACGAATGTAGGTGCCTGGGACGAGATCCACGTCAGTACTCTTGTTCTGTCTCAACAATGCTGGGAATTCGTCCACCGGCACAAGGAACTTGTTCTGCTGCGAGTTAAAGATCCCGGTCAAACCCTTGATGGCCTTTTCGACCGCCTCCGGCTTGCGCGCCTCGATGTAGATGTACCCGATGAAGTTATCACGCTGGAAGGCGGAGAAAATCTCCAAGTCCTTCAATGTCTGCTTCTTTTTCAAGATCTGGCGCACCAACTCCTTCTCCTTACCCTGGCGACATCTGAGTGCCCAGATGGACGGATCGTCTACCGACGGGAGGAGCAACCGCTGGGAGACCTGGTCGCCCCCCTGGAACGCACCCGCCTGGTTGCGCCCGTACCGCTCTCTAAACTTTTCGGCCAATCTTTCGGCATCCTCGTCCTCAATTTTCTGTCTTCTTCTGTCCACCTCTCTGTGGGCTCTTTCCGTCTCCGGCTTGCCTGGTTCGGTGCCTTCCGCATGGTCGTCCGCGATAAACTGTTCTCTGAACATAACCGCCTCTTCATCATCTTCCTCTTCATCCTCTTCGTCGTCGTCATCGACCTCGGCTTCCATATCAATGAACTGGTTCCGGCGGCGTCTCTTTCTGGATCGAATTTCATCTTCCTCATCGTCATCTACCTCTTCTTCATCTTCTTCATCATCCTCGGCGGGAGCCTCGGTGGGAGTATCGGTGGGGGTCTCAGCGGGAGTCTCAGCGGGAGTCTCAGCGGGAGCCTCGGTGGGAGACCCAGCAGGAGACTCAGCGGGAGACTCAGCGGGAGACTCAATCGGGCGCTTTAGGCTGGTATCGGACAAATGATCCTCAGTTTTAAGCGCTGCAGTGTCACTCATATCGGGTACCAAGTGGTGTGACTGAATCGTGTGGGGATGGACGAGAGGTGCGCAATTTGTGTTTTTGATATGATAAATTCGTTGGCGTTACCCGCTTGGGTGAGACACGACGGTATGCGCGCGACCACTACAAGCGTGCTCACAGACATGCGTTGCGGGTCATTTGGACGATTAGATTTCAATAGTCTGATAAAAGGGATTCAACTGGTATGCTTAATAATATTCTGTATTTTGTCCTTTACATCTATATAAAGGGTCATAGTCTGAAATAAAAGTACTTCCATCTAGCTTTGGCCAAAATAATTTCTGTTGCAAAGTTCGACGCTTATGCCTACACAAATAGGATATAGCTTCAAATCGTAGAGATCGAGAAATTTAACAGATTACATTCTCTAGTTTGTTGTATCGAGACTTCAAATTGTTCCTAATGTGTGTGTGTGTGTGTGTTTTTTCATAAATAATAGTCTAATTCTCGAGCAGCCTTATTTCGATTTCATCAGTTGCTGCTTGCAAAGGCTCCACCGGAATAAAGATTCAGGATTTAGCATAAACCGTCAACTAGGTAACAGGGCTATCTGCTGCCTCCTTCGCCAATAGTGTGTGCATTCAGTGTTGATGAATTCACCTATCACCCTGGTGAGACCACAACAATGAGTAGATCACACCCTCAGAATGTCATAAATGGCCAGAAACAAAGTATTGGATAACGTAATCTCATACAATTGTCTCGCTCAGATCAATTATTACAACTCAAATTCCAATATTGCCTCTTCAAAGGCATCTGCAAATCCCTCGTTAACGTCTCCTCTCTCATAATCCCAACCAGGCTGGCACCTTAGCATGTTTGCCAACTGCAACGGCCACTCCTTGTCACATTTTTTAGTCTCCCTTTGCGTAGCACCAATTAGGATTTGACACTCTTCCTCGCTATCCCTGACCGTGGAATCAGAATCATCACCCTGCTCCGCATGGACTTCAAGCCATTCCTGTCTGGCTATATCGCCTCTGGCTGCTAGATTGAGAAACTTGCTCCTGGCGGCCACACTAACGTCCCCGTTCCAAGAGCAACTCCACACTTGTACCACCATGAATATCACAATCACAATTTTGTTCGTCTGGTCTAAGAGGTGACCCTCATAGTTTAATCTGTAGTTAGGCTTGAGGTCGGCCAGTACGGCAAAGATGTCCGTGTCTTCGCCCCGTTCAAGCGATAGCTCCTTTCCAAACGCACCAAACAGATTCGAGTAGCCATCCGTGTAGAGAATCCCCACTTTAAACAAGAACTCCTGCTCCTTTGGTGCTGATTCGTCGCTAAGGGTGAAAAACTCCCGGAATTCCCGTAGCGGCATTTTCGCCACCGTGGCTGCCACGGCTAAAACCCACTCCTGAGGATCGACCGCGTAGCTGCGGCGGTTCATGCCCTCGGAAGCAAACCACACGGCATCCATTCCAACATAAAGCATCACACAGAGATCGCGTCTCAACCGAATCGTCTCCACGTTGTACTTTCCTTTCATTGCTATCACCTCAAGCACCACCCCCGGGGCCTGGGTGACTTCTTGCTGGTACAAGGGCCTCATGCCAGGCCAGTGGGTGAAGAACACCAGAGCGCATGCCTTTTCGCACCACTCGGAGGAAAACGTCCCGAGCGCTTTGAGGAGCTGGTGCCAGAACATGTCCTGGAGCTCCATGACCACAACTTCGCGGTATCCACGCGGCACGTTCTGCCAGCCGCGGTGGACTGTGTTGAGGTCGTTCATCTCGGCGATCTTTTCGTTCAACTGGAGGCGGAAAACTTGAACCACAAAGTGGCTGATAGGGCGATAAGTATTCCAGAGCGCATGGTGAACCAGTTTTTCCGAAGTAGCGCAGCTGAATGTCCACTTAAAAAGCTGCCAGATGTCCTTCAACGTATGGCTGAGCAAATATTGGCCGCTGATGGTCCGGATCACATCTTTTGTTTCCTCAAAGTCTTGCGAGTCCTGCAACATCTGCGCTGCCTTTAGGGACTCTGCCGACATTTTTTGCCTACCAAGGTCAAGCATAAGCGCACCCTTTGACGGCGAAATGAACGAGTCATTCGAAGCAAGGGACCCGTGGGGCGAGGAAAACTCGTTGGGTTTCACCTTCTTGGGGGAGATCATAAGGTCCTCCGTAGCTGGCCGTTTCGGCGACTTCATCGCAAATTCGGGGCTGGCACCTTCAAGTAAATCACCCTCGGCGGTAACCTTTTCTTGGTAACTTTTGGCGGAGATCTCGGGTATGGTAGCTGACCGTGTGATCCGGCCCCTGGAAGCCTGGAGCCGCCTCATAGCAGAAACAGACTTTGGAAACACCAATGATTTCACCAAGGCATAGAGTCGCTCTTTGATAATCGCCTTGTCATCGTCGCCCAATACCTTTCCGTCCAGCAGCTCCACCTCCTGGGTGACCTCGAGGTCAATGTCGGAGGTCTGGGAGTTGCTGTTGTAGATAACTTCTGCAGATTCAGTCAAAACAGTGCGTGAACCCATCATCACAGCGTCAAGGTACCGCTGGAGAAGGGAAATGGCGCGTTGGTTTATAGGAAGGGGGTTGGCCGAGGAATTGTCCGAAATCCGTGACGAAATCGTCCAATGGCCCGCAATGGCAGCTAGGGTGATGAGATCGCTGAAAACGGCGTCGTCTGGAACTTTGGCCAATCTTCGTGTGGCAATGTCCTCATTGAAACCGTGTTCGCTGAACACGGAGGCCTCAAGCACCGTGAGGATCTTGTCGTACTGGTTTTTCTTCGGGTTGAGGAGTTTCGCGAGCTCCTTGTCGAACGCGATCCCGTTGTCGCCATCGTAGAGATCCAACTCCGCGGCACCGGGATTGAACCTTGTAGGGGAGTCTGACTGGAACTCAAGCTGAAATAGGTCTTCCAGCATGATTGGGCAAGAATGGATCAGGTTAACATAGAAGCGTGGTGTGTGAATGTAGGCGCGTTGCAAAGGCTAACTCGCGCGGCTGAAAAGATGTGCAGGTTAGACGATCCCCGAAACGATAATTGTAAGGTATCAGTGTTGGCTAATATCAGGCCATAGGTTCGAGAGTAAACGATATTAAAAGGTGTGGAAAGGAGGAATTAATTTACAGCTTGTGCTGAAAATATAAAACATGATATAGCTACCTTACTGAGCAATATTCTTTAATTCTGCCCACAGTCTGATCCGTAAACGCTCACTAAACAAATTGGATTATGGATCCTGAACTCTCAAAAACTCAACAGCCGATAAATCCATAATAATCATGGCGAAAGTTAAACTTAAAGAATTCTGTGGGGTGTTTCAGCACTCGTAGTTTTATACAACTTGTCCTACCCTTACATTTGTCTTATACAAGAGCATGCATCATCTGAGGAAAGAGCTTTATACAATAAAACGACGGCTTAGATTCCGAGAGAGTCCTCAGGAAGTGGAAAAATGAGGTAATAAAACGCTTATTTATCGTCATTATAATTCGTTCTAGTGTGCCAAGAGCCATCTACATGGCGTTACAATAATGCGCCACTCCAAGACAGTATTCCTGCGGCTGGCGCTTACATGGACCGGCCCCAACGGTACATACACCCAAAGACCAACCCTTCATTATGCTTGAACCCGCAAGTTTATTCGCACCCTTATCGATTCAGCCATTATGACTTCCTATGGCCCTCACCGCCTACAAACAATTGCAACCCTAGACCTTCCGTCTTCCTCCCCGATTGTGTTCATCCACGGCGGCGCCTGGCGCGACCCAAACAACACCAAAGATGACTGGGATGCCCTCGCATCCATGATTGAGCCCACTCCTGGCCCTTACAAACACGCTTACTCCCTAGATTATCGCTTATCTCCCGAGGTGAAGCATCCGCAGCACATTCTCGACGTGCTATTTGCCTTGTGTCACCTTAAGAAGGAGGTTGGTGTGGAACACGTCTCTCTAGCGGGGCATTCGGTTGGTGCCACGCTTATTTTGCAGATTCTCTCTTTTACCAAATTACTCTCGTACTATCCTGATACGTTGACGGATTTAGAGTACCTGTGCCTACCAGTGTCAGTGAAGACCCCAGCACAGGTAGTACTGTTTATTGAGAAAAATCTTCCTCGTTTGGACACCTTGTACTTGTTAGACGGGATCTATGACATGGACAAGTTGTATGAGGAGTACCCGATTTATTCTGACTTTATGGGCCAAGCTTTTAACGGAGACGAGTCCCAGGCTATACAGTTGAGCTTGGAGATTGGAATGGATGTGCCTCACGGGAGGGTTGTGGTGGCACATTCTTATGAGGATGAACTTCTCAGTCCGCAGCAAACCTTTTTATTCACGCAGTACTTGACATTGCAGAAAATTGAGTTTACGTTTGTGATGGGCTCTTTTGGCAAGCACAATGAGGTATACGAGTGTAAACAGGTGGCTGAGTTGATCCTGAAAGAGGCAAAGGTGTGAATGCATATATGAATTATGAAAGTTTGAGAAGAGAGAATGAAATGTGGTTTCAAATGTGATTTGACACTAAAGAATGCCAGGCACTAAAAAACAAAATCTCTAGGAAAAACATCTAATGGGACACTCACCACGTTTGTACATAGCACTTGTAACCAAACAGATTTATTCAAGTCCAGAAAAAAAAAACTTTGTCGGCATTTATCAGCTCTGGAACACATATTTAGTTCGTAGATGATTGTTCTGGTGACGTGGAACCTATTACTCTCGGATCCACCGTATTGTATTAACATCCGGTATGGAGAATATCAATCATTTGAGTTTCCTATATCCAAGCTCTACGCCAAAGCTCTCTTATCATACCCCGATATCATGTTTTTTTCTTGCTTACCCAGAACTCTACTAAAAATCTCTGAGGCCCTTCTTTTCACCCTCAAACTTTACACGGAATCCCACGCTCCATATAAAGTACTTGAGGATTTACCCCAACTATATAGAAAACCTCGGCGGCCTTTCTTGGTCTTTACATAAATTTATTAAACAAACACACCTATTTCTTTGGCTTGGAGAACTCCAAGTGGATAATCAAGTTGTGGTAACCCTTACCGTCGAATCTGTCAATCGCAGCCTGGGCCTGGTCAACCGACATGAAGGACACGTAGGCAACACCCTTGGATCTACCGGTCATTCTGTCCTTGACAACGGTGACTCTCTTCAACATGAAAGGACGCAACAACTCGTCTCTCAACGTGTCCTCATCGACAATCTCGTTCAACTGCGTAATTCTCAAGGTGGTGGAGTCGTCTCTGTCTTCGTAGCCTCTGCCCACAGCTGGCGCATCGCCTGGCTTCCTGTTTCTGAGATGCGGTGGCACGAACACACTGCTGTTCGCCTCTGGCTCCGGTGTCGCGGACGGCGCGGCCGCGTTGGCCTCGGAGTCCACGCCGAGCGTATCCTTGAATGGACATTTGGACGTGAAATGGTCCCCGCCACAGGTACGACACTTGATTCTCTGTGTAGTTGCGTTCTTGGCGCTTTCCTCTGCCTTCTTCTCCTCTGCCTCCTTCTCCAAGTCCTTCCACGCGGTCCCGAGGTTCAACTGCACGTCCTCGCCGATCTGGGTGGTTCTCATGTCTGGGCCCGGCGCGGAATCTCTCTCCTCGCCGAACTTCGTCCACTGCTTGCGCGCGGCGACCGCTGGATGCACGGTCTCCTTGACTATGGTCTCTCTGACCTTCTGTATGACTTTGTACTTCTTGCCGTCTGGCCCCACGCGGAACGACACCACAGTCTTGGTGCCGTCGGCGTTCTTGGTGATGACTGGCACCGGTAATTCATTCTCAGAGTCCGCCCAGTTGGCAACAGGTTGCGATGCGATGTCAGCCATTTTATGTGAGTAATGACGCCTTGAATGCCTTGACGGTTGATGTAGGCGTCTATTTTTTTCACCTTCAGGTTTTTTTCGCCCGCGGTCGTGCAGCGCCCAAGCCGCGTGTCGCTCCGGGTAATGGTGCGAACGTAGACTGTCACTATGTAACTCTGAGCTCAAGTGCCCGGATCGTTCAGGCTGCTCGGTACTGGTAGAAATCTGGGATATACACCAGTACCAAGATTAACAGATGCAGTGAGGCTTCAGAAGTGAGTACATGTATAAATACAAGAGATACCAGTGTTTGGGGGAAAACCCTAAAAAAAAAGCCACGATGGAACGTAAACTGAGGCTGAAATTGATATACAGGAATGGAGTAAAACACGACGTTTTTAATATGAACATGTGCCGACAAAACGTAACGGTTTTTGCACGTATAGGTGGGAATTCACGAACCATGGGACCAGTAAAATACCTGTAAAGGTGGCCAGGTCTATATTACGAGATCTGCGGTGAATTTACGGACCTACTACCCGAATTAGACATGCCGACTGCCGTTAGGTGATACCAAGTGCCTTGTTTTTGATTCCTCACCCCGCGAAAATAAAACGTAAACGGTCTTGGCCAAACTCCATACCGCAGTGTGTTCTGCGGTGGGGTACGTTGTAATATCACAGTTTGAGACGGATTGGAATTTCTCGATAACAGGAAAAACCCAAGCCCATACATTGTAACAGTACACTATTCCTTTGTAATTCAAATTACTATCACGGCGTTTTTTTAAATTACATATGATGGGAGCAAGGATCCGCGATCCACTTGGCCTCTCCATCCTCACACCTGTGAAACGCAACTAATTGCTCTTTTTAGTGCGGTCCTCATCGTCGCTAAACAACCCCTCATCCTCCAACTGGAACATTGTCGCATCATCATCAAGCGATCTCTTGACTTTGGTCTCGCCCTTGGAAGGCGCTTCGGCTACAGCGGTGGTAGACGCAGCATACTGAGCGTGGTCCTCCTCCAAGTCAAGGTCGAAACTGTCGTTGCGACGGGTATTTCTCTGATCCTCCTCGCCGTCGCTCATCAAGCTCAAGTCGTCCAAGTCGAACTCGTTCGCCTGGTCGGCAGAGGTGGGTAACTGTGAGCTGACAGCCAACATGTAGGAGTCCGCGGTCGGCCTCCAGATAAAGGCGACACTGGTGAACACAAAGAAGTACGCGATCGACGGCCAGAAGCTGAAGATGAAGAAACGCGATTTCCAGTGGCTCTCGATCGTGTCAACTGACGAGTAGCCAAAGTAGACAAAGGTGGAAGCAAACATACCGAGGAAAATGACAATCATGGATGCGAAAATCACGTTAAAGAGCGTCTGGTACATGTGCAATTTGATCACCTGTCTCTGTTCACGCAAGAACGTGGTGGTGGTGCGCATGGAGGTGAGAATGGTGACATAAAAAACAGCAAAGGTCACGGCAGCCGGCACCACCACAAAGAACGCAGCCAAGCTCTTGGAGTCGGGATTCACGATGTAGTCGGGGGCGACATACACCGCAGTCGTGATAAAGGTCAAGCCCGCGAGGATCTTGCATCTTAACATGACCTTCTTGCTCAACTTCGGGTACACAACCCCGTACCCCAAGGAAATCAAAAGCAAGAGAAAGAGCGAGAAGGAAATCTTGACGGAGTTGAGGATGGCGATGAAGAACATGTAAACCAACACGCCCTTCTTGAGGCCCTGCTGGTTCTGCAAGTCGTAGTATGACCAAATCAAGATAGTCTCGGCCGTCAAGAATCCAAAGAATGCCACCAAGTACTTTTGTAACGGTAAGATCGCGGCGCGATGTCTGTAGAACGCCCATGCATAGAGCGCCAAACCAACCCCGTAAAAGATCGCAAGCATCCCGTAGAGCGGCAATTTTGGAATCTCAGACGCCGATAGCTGGCCAAACGCGTTGCGGAAGTCAACCGTTCCGGAGTAGGACTCTGCCTCGTGGGAGTACGTGAACACGCAGTAATACCCGGTGTGCTTGATTTGGTATTTCAAGGTTGTTTGGCCCAAGCTGGTGACATATGTCGTCATGATCTGCGAATGTATGGTACTGTTCGCAAGCTCTTGGTTGATGAGCACGCGGTTGCGTGACTTTTCCTCGCACAACCCGGCGGCAATAGCGGCGCTGTCGCAGATGTAGGTTTTTTTGTTGGGATTGTTCTTGTTTGGGATCCCGAGTAAGTGGTAATCGCGGTACTGCAACACCACCATGGAAACTGACACGTTCAGCGAGTCGGCAGCCTTGTACTGGTCGAGGTAGACGGAGATGTAGGGGTCAATGTTCCCCTGCCAGTCTTCACGGGAGTACATTCCCGCGCACACGCGCGTGGTTTCCTCGTTGAAAGAGCCCTGGTTGGCATGAACCACCACGGCGAGCGAAGCAAGCGAAATAAGCAGGGCAAACTTCATCTTTGGTGTGTAAGTGGAGCGTATGGTAGAACGGGTCGTTTGGGCCAGAAGTACAGCCCCGATACGGGGCGTACGGGACAGAGCGGTACACGCACGAGCTAAAAAGCCGCGATTGGAAGGCTTGGCGGGAAACGAGGGATTATTCTAATGTGCTGTTTGAAATATTTATTTTGATATTTAAGGCTTACCTATTTTGATACAGCAAAGATCTGATGGTTGTGTAAGTTTTATAAAATTGTAAAAAAAAAAAAAAAAAAAACTATTATTGAATGGTTAATGTGGCGCAAGAGTTCGGCCAACCATGGTGACGGACTTGGAGTATGCATACATAGTGGTTGGAGCGAGTATGGTACAACCATCAGGGACGTCAGCCCTACAGACTCATACTTTATCTGTGTTTCTGAGATACTATTTCGAATCTAAATAAAATAAAATATGTGTGTATTTAATGTTTCTAATATCGCCGGCTAAACCCTTTTTTGATTTTCCAGCGGCACTTTTCTACGTCCCTTCGATGCAGGCCATTCTTGCCGCTTGCCTCCAAGTTTACATCAAGAACCAGACGGCTATAAAACGTTTCACCATTCTTATATCATCCATTACTCTTGCACATTTACATCATGTCCCTTGCTAAAGACGCTACTCCGGTCCTCAAGGCCGCAGACATGCCGGAAGAGTTGCAGTACAATGTATTTGAGTTAGCTGGCAAGTTTTCCCAGGAACACCAGTTGGAGAAGGACATTGCCCAGCTGTTGAAGAAAGCGTTGGACGAGGAGTACGGGCATACATGGCACGTAATTGTGGGTAATTCCTTCGGCTCCTACGTCACCCATGAAATGGGCTTTTTTGTCTACTTCTATATCGGTCCAAAGGCCTTTTTGTGCTACAAGTCTGGGTAAGTCCTCCGTTTACCGATGAGAGTGCATGGCCTGAGGATGATACTAATGCAATAATGTATTTTATTTAAGCGAGTGTAAGACGGTGGGGCAATCTACTGGGCAATGAATATGCGAGCAAGGCTTCTTGGTTCCAACAGATGAAGCTTTTAACGTTTTGATGGCCAGGCATATTTTTCAGTAAGGAATCCTCGATCTGGTTCCCAGATTCTGATTTGGTTTTATCTGAATCCCGGTCTCAAATGGAATCTGTATGGAACTCTTCAAAGGCCCGAGTGTGTGGACCAAACTTGTTTCAGTTAGGCACCGGAGGCGGAATATGTGAAGATACAAGCTAAAAGTCAGATAATCTGGCCGCTGCTGCCATACCATTGTGGGGTATATGAAATGAAGCGGCATCTCTAGTTGCAAGCCGCTATCTCTTGCCGCAAACCATCATTGATTAATAATTAACGACAGTCTCTTTAATATCGGAAATCTAACTAGCGGATGCGATGTTATTTTAAAAGCATTCTGCTTCGGTAGATTAACCTTTTTGTATCCACCCCGCTGTTTTGCAACCTACTTATTCTTGAGCTGAAATTGGCCCTACGGGGCCTCGGTCATCACAACTGCATACAGTAATTAAAGGGTGCCTACATAGGTTAGAGTAAGTTTATGTCATTATAGATAACCCGGAGGCTAAAGTACAAGTCGGAAAAATATATATACCGGCGGCGCCCGCTGGTCAAGATCTTTCGTCAATTTAGATCAAAATAGATGGCTTGGCGCCTCTCTGGTTGGAGGCTTCGTGGGAGAGGAACTCAACCTGTCTAGTTTCAGGCAACTTCAAGACTCTCTTCAAGTTGGCACCGATTGGCTTCAACTTCTCCTCGTCGGTGGTCTTAGTCCACAAACCAACTCTGAAGAATTGCTTTCTGACATTCAACACGACACCGTTGACCTCGTTCTGGTCGTCTTCGATGGTCTCACCAATAACAGACAACAAGGCTCTCAACCATAATTCGTTGATGTTGGTCTTCTTGTCCTTGAACTGGAAGGCCCACTTACCACCGCGGGCGTTGGCAACGTCTTCCCATTCTGGCTTGACACCCTCTCTGAACAAGTGGTAGTCAGACTTGATTGGCAAGTCAGTGGCAGCTGGAATAGAGTTGAAGATACCCCAGAACTCCTCAACGGTAGAGAAGGTGATGACTGGCTTCAATAAATCGCCCCAAGACTCGTTCTGGTCCACAGGTGGCTTGGTGTACCACAAGGTCCATCTGGTATTCAATGGGTGCTTTGATTCAAAGTTCTCCTTGTTTGATAAAACGGTGGAGTCTTCCAAGCTCAAGTCGACGGTTTTTTGAATAATTTCTTCAGACATCTCTGGCGGCTGTTAGTACTTGCACAGTGAATGCGACCGGTGTTCCTGAGCCTTCAGTACGAAATACGTCAAACAAGACTCGGACAAACCACAGCAATACATACTTTTGCACTTATCAAAACGCAGCTGGGGTTATGAAAGGAGTAAGACGAGCCAGGCGTTTGTGTCACTTGCTTTATCTCCTGCTTGTCCTCTCTGTGTTGGAAAAATTTGAAGGTGCGAATGAGCCGCAGGTACGCTGGGTAAAGTTCGATATGTAAGTATATGTGGGCACGCAAGCGGCACGCGAGGCCACTAGCGTCGTAGGATGTCTGTGCTCTACGTGTATGAGGGTCAGGGTAACGGCGAGGATTTATTAACTCTGAAAGATGGTCCTGGGGTTTTATCGAAGCGGTTATCAAAGCTTGTTACCCGGCACATAGCCTCTGTTTAAAGAGTGGTGGCATAGATATGTAAACAGGCGCCGCACGACTCCTGCGACTCCACTTCGAGACAACGAGTATGCCGGTAAATCCACGATTTTTCCACCAGAGGGAAGCCAGGAGCATGTACGTTTGAGAGTAACATGGTTTTATAACAAAACTGAGAAAGCGCCTAAGCAGGAATTTCAAGGTACGACTGTGAAGCTGGAGGTTTGGCTGAAAAAAGAAGAACGTTAAACTATCTGAGCTGTCTGTTGAAGACACCTTAAAGGCTTATCGTACAGCATCTGTGTTAGTGTCTGTGAGACGTAGACCAAGAACTATTCAAGCCCCAGAGCCTTATCTATCTACCCCCGTAATGCTTTCGGCTGAGATACTTTGCCGCTTTAGAGATCGTGACGGTTATTCCATCTGTATTTTGCACAAAGCAAGTCCACTGTAGCTCTGTCTCTTCTTTGTCGTGTGCCTATCACTTATACTCCCCGCACGACATCTGTATGGTCTTTACTGATATCAGTTGCAGCTTTTTACGCACCAGTCTTCAACGTGTTGCTTCTTCTGTCATCCAGAACACCTGTATGTCGGTCAACACCCTTATCGACCTCTCTAAAAAGTTGTTTGCAGTCGCTGCCTCTGTAGCCGTTGTCGGTTTGCTAGGTGTGTACAAACTCCAACTGTTTCTCGTGTATCCGTCGTCCTTGAACAATGCCAGAAACGTGTTGGACACCCCTGATGCGTACGATTTGCCCTATGACGACGTTTCGTTGACGACTCCCGACGGAGAGACCCTCCATGCTTTTGCCATCCGTCAGAACGCAGACTCTGCTACCTACACCAACAAAACCATCGTCATGTTGAGCCCTAACGCTGGTAATATCGGTAACTACTTGCCCATTGCCAGACTTTTCTACGACTTTGGCTACAATGTGTTTATATACTCGTACCGCGGGTACGGGAAATCCACCGGAACCGCCTCCGAGAAAGGCTTGAAGCTCGATGCAGACACCGCCATGGAATTTCTCGCGCAAGACATCCAGTTCTCGCAGTCGTCGATTGTCTTGTACGGGCGCTCGCTTGGAGGTGCTGTCTCTATTTATTTGGCCAGCAAACACCCCCAGGCGATCGCAGGGGTGGTGCTTGAGAACACTTTTCTCTGCTTGCCCAAAGTGGTGCCACACATATTCCCGGTTTTGGCGCGTTTCGCGTTCATGTTGCATCAGCGGTGGCCTTCCGAGGAAATTGTGGGCAGTGTCCCGCTGCATATTCCATTTTTGTTCATGAATGGTTTAAAGGATGAGATCGTCCCTCCCAGTCATATGCAGCTGTTGTATGAATTGTGTCTGGCAGACGTGAAGGAGATTCACAAGTTTGCGAATGGGTACCATAACGATACGTTGTCACAGCCTGAGTACTGGGAGATTGTCCATGACTTTATCAAAATGAAGGTGAATCCAATTGGGCATTAACAGGAAGAGCGTAAGACGAAGGTGAATCCAATTGGATATTAGCAGGAAGAGTGTATGAGTGGTGCTTTGCACTGAGTAAACAGCAAGCTTTGTTTCCATCGAGGTTGACCCTCACTGTGGGTGCATATCTTCCAAATGTCTGACCGTTCTCACAGGTGAAAGACGGTGCATTCCCTCTGCCTTTTGAGGTTATCACTACGATCCGTATACCCTGGCTTTTTTTTTTTTTTTTTCTTTCGTTCGGTGCCTTTGTTGGTTATCCATGGTTCAGAAGTTCCATGCGCCAGGTCTCACTTTTTGGATCAAATGATATTTATCGTAGAATTCCCCTTAATACAGCATTTGCCGCTACACTATTTCTGATCCATTTATGATATTAGTAACCCACACTCATAAATTGGGCTCAAAAATTAACATCCTCTCTGCGTGCCACTGGCAAAGTCTATCCCCGTGAGATCTTTGTATATATGCTTCAACACTGGATTGATAGGGCCCGATACTGACAAACCCCCAAAAGCACACTATAGTACCACGGTTCCACAGCCACTGGGACACTCGGTATTCTCGTCCCAAATAAACCACTCTCGCAAGCACCCGAAATGGCCCATGTGGCCGCACGACAAGAACGCCAACGCCATTCCCTTTACCGGCTCGTTACAGTAGATGCACTTCCCCAAACACTTGCGGCACTTGTCACACCACCAAAAACCCTCATCAGCCCCAGTGTCTTTGTTCTCCAAGTTACGCTTTTTTGTCCGCTCGTTCACCACCAACTCAAGACAGTTGGGGCAGTACGTACGCAAGGTTGTTTCGTTCTGGCCCATCAGGCGTATTTCCTCAAACTCGCACTTCTTCATGATGTCGATCGCAATGGTGAACAAGCCCTTGCGGTTCAAAATCTGGATGTACAAATAGATCCACTCGAGCGCCTGCTGCTTCTCCACCACGGGATTCGCCTCGTTGTAGAAGAGAAGGGTGAGGGTGGCACACAAGACGATATTTCCCTGATCCGCGGCGTACTCCGCGGCCTTCTCAATAAGCTGTCTGGCACCCCAGGGGATCACAAGGTCTTCTGATGATCCGGGTTCAATCTCCTTGTAGAGCTGTGACTCGCGTGTGTGGGTGCTGAAGGTCTCGGTGCGCAGTCTGAGCTGTTTCGTAAGTTCGCTTTTGTTACTGGTCCACTTTGTAAGCGCTGGGCTGTGGAGAAGCTGTGGCTCGTGTGATAGATGGTACGGTGTGTGCTCGGTATGGCTTCCGAAGGAAGAGGAGTAGACAGAGTCAGATGCATCTAAATGGTCCCCAAAATACCCAGGGGTGTCCTGCTCGGCAAAATTCGTGGCGATTGGCGTGGAATGCGTGTGCTCGACCAACAACTTGGAGAGATTCTTCTCCGATAAGTTGGCATTAACCTTGAGGGTTGGGACCCCAGACACTTCCTCCGGAAGCACAAAGTACTCAGGGACGGTATCCTCCTTCTTGGCCGAGTCAAAGGTGATCGCCTGGTCGGAAACAAAAGCTGGGGTCTCCATCACGGCGTCCCACTTCCGCGGGATGCTGGACATACTGGGTCTGCTTTGACGGATAAAGCCCTCGGCCTGGCTGCCGAAATGGGAAGAATGGGAGGCGTACGATCCGATATCCAAGTCGGAGCCAATCGATTGTTGGTACGAACCGCTCTCTACACCAGCCTCCACGGCCGAACCTGCTCCCTCAACCAAGCTCTCTTTCACATATTTCTCCTTCCGCTTTTCCACCACAAACCCCTCGTCGAGAGATAGGGCGGTGGCAATCATGGTCCAGGTCTGCGACTCTCTGAAGCGCTGGGCGTTGGCAGCCACTGCCGCGTGGTACCCACACACCGCCGCCATGTCCATGCCTTCGGGAATTTCCGTCAAGTAGGTGTTTGTCAAATACTCAAACGTGTCGTCGTCGTTCAGCGGGATGGGGACGCTGACAGGGACCGCGTAGGGTGTGTTTCCGTTAGCGCTGACACCTGTTGAGGCCCGTGATATGGTGCGAGGAAGCGGCGGCCGCGGATACAACAGAGTGGTGCTGCGGGTCAAAACCGGCCGCTCGACCGGGGTGTAGTAGCTGGTGGGAGAGGAAGACATGGTCTGGATTGGAGAAAGAGTGTCTCTTTCGGGCAGTGCGATAGCCGTAGCAAAGCTAGGGTCGAGCCCAAAGTCCTGCTTGTGCTGGTCGATCATTATCATGTCTGCGAAGCCGTTTCCCCAGGCGAGCGCAGTGCTCGGCAAGTTGCGCAACGGCTGGATGGCCTGTGTCAAGTCTGTCTGGACGAAGGTATGGTCCTTGGAGCAGCTCCAGATGTGGCGATCGCTTTTGTAGTGGAAGCCTGTGATTTGATTTGTGTGTCCCTTGACAATGTATAGCGGGATGTATTTCCGCTTGAGGTTCCAAACCTGTATCGAGTGGACATCGTTCATGAAGCACAGTGCGATGTTGTGGTTGAAGAGCGACGGGTTGGCATGGGTCACCAGCGGCCCCCAGTCGACGCGAGCGATAGGGCCCGACGTGTTTATGACGTAGTCCGGCGTACGTTCGCTGCCCTGACTGCCCATGTTCCAGATCTGGATCTGTTTGTCACGGCCGCCGCTTGCGATATAGTCGAGCTCGGGATGGTACCCGAGAGAAAGCCCGGGTCCGGTATGTGCATTAAGTTTTTTCTCGTACTGTCCCGGCATGCGCACGTCCCACTTCTTGATCACGCCCAGGTCGAAGATCGCCACCAACTTTCGAGGCAGGTGTGGCAGAAACTTGACACACCGCACCGCCTCCGCGTTTCCCTGAATCGTTGTCGTCGGTTTCGAGCTCTTGATACGCAAGTCCCACACCTTCATCGTCCCGTCCTGCGAGCCGCTGAGGATGGAGTACGGATTGTGAGTCGAGAAGTCTAGCGAGTTGACCGCACGCGTGTGGTTGCTGAGGTGGTGCTGGAGCTTCGACGGCTGCTTGCTCGTGTAGTCATAGATGAAGATTGAGCCGCTGGTGGAGGCCGTCGCCACCATGCGCCCCATTGCGTCGTACCCCGCACACACATCCGAGATGGAGCCGAGCTTCTGGTTGTGGCGTGCAGAATTACTCGCAAGCAAGTCCCATTCGACCTTAATCTCCTGAGTCGATACCCGGAGCACCTGGAGGAGGTTCTTGCCTGCAATTACCGCAAAGTCGCCCACGGTACCGTTGAGCGGCGCAAGGCATTGAATCTCCGTGGGAGACGTGTATCGCGCCCGAGAGTCGGACCCCGAAACGGAAGAGGAGTACGAATGGGAACACGATTGGGAGTACGATTGGGAGTACGAGCTGGCACCGGATGTGTATCGCGGAAGCGAACTGGGCGGTGTGTGCGTCGCGGAGTTCAGGTTGTTCTGTGAGCCATAGATGTTGAACGCGAAGCGCGCAAAATTGGAAGTACTGGGCCTGCGTGAAGCGGTCTGTAGCGACGGAGAAATTTCCACCGGGTGCGGTTCCGCCAGCGACCGTGCGCTGTTGTTTCGCGGGATCATAAGTGGAAGCTTAGAGCGGGGGGGGGGGATGAATAAATAAGAATGTCAGGAAGGAGTTGAAGTTTTAAGCGCTGACGGCTGATAAGCGTCATGTTGGTCTGAACACGACCGAGGGGGAATCGCAGCAGATTTGTTTCAAGAGTAGTACGGCGCCGGATAGGGATGTATATGTTCAGTGAGTTGGGCTGGAAGAGACTGAATGTCCCTAATTTGGTCAAAATATTTATTTTTTGTAAATAATTGGAACCGTGCCAGTGATGTCCCGGAGTGTTTATGATATGTTTTTTTCGGTGTTCTTGCCGATAAGGATCTTGCATGCTAGTCAGCTGTCCTACACATACAGTTATACCGATTAAATGCTTATGTTCTATCTCTTGTCTAAATCAACTTGATGTCCCCGATCATAATGTACAGTCGGATAGCGCTATACCGCAAGACGTAGATCCCGTCCTGGAGAAGCTCCACCTCTTCGTTATTCACGTCAATGCTGTGACTGATCGTTTTGACCACCTTCACAAACACGGGTTTGTCAAGATCGGGCTCCTCGATCATGGATATTCCACCACCGGTATCATCAAGCAACTGTAACAGTTCTGGCAACCTGGAAAGGAACTGTTTTTTATACAATGTCGTCAAAATTTCAAAATGCCTGGGGTTGTTAGTATATAACATGGGGAGGAATGAAACGATTAAAGGGCAACTGTTAATTGGGTAAAGAGTTTGGGCGGAGAATAGACGGTTTGTAAACCGTTCATAATCTTGCGTAAGCACACGGTTTTAGACAGCATAGTGCGAGTAAAATCCAGTGTATCAATAAGAAAAAGTGGAGGCAATAACCACTCAGAGTAGCGACGAAGCTGCTGTTCAGCAATCCTTCTCTAAGTTCCGGTCTTCAATCTCCAACCCCAGTTTTCATCATTCATTCCCAATATTCTCCAATCACCTTCAATTGATACGTACTTTCTCATGTAAGAGACCTCAGATGGCGAAAGGCGCTTGACCATGTCACCATTTTTCGTGATGTACACGGTAAATTTGTCTATTTTAGAGAGCCGGGTGCGCAAATATGTCCGAATCAAATAATTAACTCGCTCCAACTCCAGCTCCACAATCATGAGTTGAAGCTTGATGTCCTTCTCAAGCTGGAGCTCCAACGAGTTGATCTCGATAAACTCAATCTGCAGACGAGTCCGCGCCAAAATTCGTTCGAGTAACTCCTCCTCATACTCTAAAACGTCCGGCGCCATCCGCTCGTTCACCACCAGCTGCATCAACCGCGTGAGGTCGTCCTGCTTAGCCTGTTGGATGTTGTAGCCAGATTCTGAGGTCCGGTTCTCCACCCACTCGTTGAGGATGTCGTTGAACTCGTCCATGTGATGTGGGTACTAGCTTATGCTAAAGGAGGATGCTAACTGATGAGAATCTGAGTGATTCGGAATAAGGCTGGGCGTAGGTTGATGTGGTTTTCAGGGGTTGGCAGTGCGAGTGGACAGTATTCATGTATTGATGTCGCCGGGTATCTGAATCACCAAGAGCGTCAATACAATCAGTTACAAATCGGGTCTTACGGGTTCTCATCGAACTTGCAAGCCTCTCTGCCATTTGACCGGGTTCGAAAATCCACGCGTCATCATGTTTTGGTCGTGCCCACACCAGACATACTGTTTGGCTCTTCAAAACACACACCACCATCCATTCATCACCTGTCTGGCTACACACCATGTCGTTCGATCGGTTAGGAGAACTCCAGGCCAAAAAGGCCAAACTTGAAGAACTCAGGAAGCAGCGAGAGAAAAAGCGAGAGGCCACGCCCAGTGCCGCGGACCGCTATGCCTCCGTCAACCTGTTGGTTGATCTGTTGCTACCGCCGGAAACCCCAAAGACTGAAACAGTGTCGTCCCCAGAAAAGACTGTCCCAGACAAAACTCATCCCATAAAGCACGCCAGAGTCTCAATTGCCGTACAAACGACACCGGCTGCCGATAAGCCTAGTGCCATCACCTACAACAAATCTACCCAGACTACGGATAACGACGTTCTTGCAGAACAGAGGGCTGCGAAGCAGCTCAAGGAGATCCAAAGCCAGGTGGAAGCCCAGGTGAGAAAGGATATGGCACAGCTCACGGAGGAAGAAACCGCCTCTGAACCTGAACCGCAGACGACGGAAGTGGATGAAGATCAGCTCGTAGCCTTTATGCAGCGCTCGATGAAAATCGTGAATCGTGCCTTGGATGAGGACTTTGATTTGCTTACAGACTACGCGAAATCGGTGCCGGTGGAGGTTGCCGTTCAGGATGAATTGCAGCAGCTCCACACCTTGACGTTGCCGGCATTGGAGCACCGAGCGGTGACGGGACTCGACTGGTCACCGCATCATCCGGAGCTAGTGGCGGTAGCCTATTCAAAGCAAAGTGAGCGAAGCAGCGACGTATCCAGCTCTATTCTTAACTCTCCAGGTTTGATTCTCGTGTGGAACCTCAACTCCAGCTCGTGGCCTGAATACATTTTCGATGCGCAAACCGAAATCTTGTCTGTCACCTTCTCACATAACTCGCTGTACCTCCTCTTTGGTACCGGGTACAACGGCCGCATTATGTCGTGGGACCTTAGGTCCAAACGGTCCTCACCCACTTTGCAATCCCCGATCGGAGGTGCTACGGGTGCTCATTGCCACCCGGTGTTTGCCCTCACCCAGCTTTCCGAAACCGAGGCAGATTCTAAGGCCTCGGGGACATTAATCACTGCTTCGACAGACGGTACGGTCTGTTCCTGGTCTCAGCACATACTTGCCAGGCCTATGTCTGCCCCCTTTAGTGCCAAGTCGCCCCAGGGGTCACTCGCGAGGTATGACGAACTTGCGGTCACACAGCTAGCAGTGCTTGCGGCGGACCCCGGTGGGCTTCTTGCCGGCTGCGAAGATGGCAAGATCTACCGCGTGGCACGATTTGAAAGCACGGATGTGAAACCGGGCCAAATAGACACCCTGATATATGAGGGCCATGGTGACGGTTCGGTTAGTGCGTTGGTTGCACATCACAACATCGCTGTTTTTGGAGACGTGTTTCTTTCCTGTGGCTTTGACTGGTCGATTAAGCTCTGGAGACTAGACCTGCAGACACAGAGACCACGGAAACAGTCTGTGGGTGCATTCGATCCGGATTCCACGTTGGGCTTGCTGAGCCACATTGAAACGGTGGCCCCGGTCTGGGCTGCTCTGCGGAATAATGTGGTGTTAGACGTGGCCTGGAGACCGGGCCATGACTCACAATTTGTGGCGGTGGGGCTTGAAGGGGTGCTAGAGGTGTGGGACCTTGCTAGGGACAGCATTAACCCGGTCGTTAGGATTGAGACGGGGAAAGGAGTAAATAAGGTGGTGTTTGATCCATCAGGAGGGCGAGTGGTGTGTGGAGGCGTCGATAGCGTGGTCCAAGTTTGGAAGTTTGCCGCTGACGAGACAAGCGAGGACAGGGCCATGGGGAGTTTGAAAATGAAGCAGCTAAGAGAATCAGACATCAGACTGTGATAGCAGTCATAGGCTCTGGATCATTAAGCAATACTAGCAGTGTACATGATAGCGAACGGTGTAACCGAGTAACGTTAGCTCGGGAATTAATTTATTCACCTTATCTGGCCTTATGTGCACATACCTGATCCCGGATGAAGCAATCTTACCAGATAAATTGTTAATGTCTCAACACGTATATATATAATCGGCACATCACTTTATTCACTTAATCATATCAATCACTATTTCATTATTCACTTCACATCTTCAACGCGCATTGAACTATAGACCATCTGGTCAGTATACTCTTACTAAAAATACATCACCCACAACGTCCTAGACACACTAGACAAACCTGGTGTAGAGGTTCCCTCTGGCAGAAATCTTGATCTCTCCAAAGTTCTCCGCCTGCTTCAAGCTGACGGCATCGCCAGTGGCCAAGACCAACAACTCAAAGAAAGCCCTGGTGGCCTGTTTCTTTGGCTGCAGTGACAATGGCTGCTCGGATGCGGTATCGAACAAAAGCACCTCTGCAAAGGTGGTGGCAGTGTCACCTGTCTCAAACACCTCGCGCAACTGGCCAGCCATTTTGTAGGTGGACCGTGACACAATGGACTCGCTAGCCTGTTTGGTGTACTCATCTTCCTCAGCCTGTGCTTCTGGAGACTGCAAGCCCAACTGGTTGCCGATGTCAAAGCCGAATTGGTCCACACGCTCATCCTCGCTCTCTGGCTGCGGAAGGTCAAAGTCTTGAACCATCTCCTCGTAATCGTTCTGCTCCCCATGCGGCGCCTCAGGGGTCGACTGAGGAACGGCATTCACATCCCCGTGGTTCCTTAAGGCCACACATCTTCGCTTGAACTCGGAGGTGACTTCTTGGGCAAACCTGCCAAACAAAAAAGACGTCCCCTTGGCTCGCACCAGCTGCAAACGGGCATCAACAGACAAGCCTTCGGCTGGATATATCGTTTCCCTTCTCAACTGGTCAGCGGGAATCTCCGTAGTCTCATCCACCATCAACCGCTTTCTGAGGGTTCTGATTCCCGAGTCAGTCAACCCGATTGGCCTCATCCTCCTCTGTCTGGTGTGGGTCTCGGGCGACGGAAGCATCTCGGTTGCAGTGCGTGCTTTAGGGGTCAACGGCATGGTTTTTTCCTCTGGCTGTGGCGATGGGTAGTCAAACGCGTAGTCACCGCCCATATCAAAATCCTGCTGGTGCTCCTCAGGGAAGGATAATTCTGGAAAAACGGTCATTTCATCGGCCAACGGCGCTTCACCGGCTCGGCCAACCTCTACAGACGTGTCAAAGTCCAAGCCCAAGTCCAATGCATCGTCCTTAGGCAAGTCAATGTCAAAGTTCAAGTCCAAGTCGTCCTCATCGTCGCGTTGTTCCAAATCGTCCCGCTGGTGTCTTCTGGGGATCTCGATGGAGGTGTTGAAGTCAGGTTGCGAATGCGCAAACAAGCTGGTGTGGAGGTTCGCCGTGTCGTGACGAATGGCTGAAAAATTCACAGCCGAGTCGTCAAAGTTCAAGTTCAACGGCTCCTGGTATAACAAATCCGTGCCGGTAACGGTGTCGCGCAAGGTGAGGCTGCGGATCAGGGGCACAACCGTTTCGTCAACAGGCAACGTCACCGAATTGCTGCTCTTGAACGCAGACTTCAACCGCAACAACGCGTCCGCTACGTCGTCAAGCAAGTACTTGGCCTTGCGCGAGTAGATGCGCACCACCCCGAGCAACAATTGCCCGGAGAGACGCAACGCGAGCGGCTGGATAGCCACCGCCTGGGAGCTCTGGTTTTCCGCCGAAGACGACGCGATGGCCTCCGTGGACTTTGTGATGTTGGCCTGCAAAAGCTGCTGCTTGGAGAGTTTCTTCTCCAAGTTGGCTGCCAACCATACGTGTGCCAACGGCCCTTCTTTCGTCAAGAGCTGTTCTGAGTAAAACATAGTGGGTGAAGGGCGTTGAGTCGAAAAAGTGGAGGTAGTTGTGTGTTGTTTTGTATTGTGAGGAGCAATTTCCATTTAGGGCGGTGCGAAAATATTCAGGAGCGACGCGTCGCATGACCCGCTCGCCACGTGAATTTTAGCGCGTTTTGTAGCCACAACGCCACGAGTGTGGCGTTTTCCTCACGTGATCTGCAGAACGTTCGTTGCACGTGTGCATCTGGAATATTGGCAAGTTCATCTCCCGCGGTCAACGCCCTTGCCATTGTCACATAAACGATATTATGACGTCATAGACATCAGTTGATTTATTGAGTTACTAGGGTTTTCCAACTGAGGTTACTTTTTATGTGCTATGATATCATGGATTTGTGCATATAGAATCCAGACCATCAGATGGATATTGTGCTGTAGCTGGTGAGTATTGTTCCCCGCCATCTTCTAGTAGTATGCAGACCCAATCGTTCCGTCCACCTTAACCTGGACTAGTATTTCCTCCCGTTACTCTCTTGCTGTGAGTTAATACAGAAAGGAGCCATAAGTGGTCTGAATAGACTGTCTGGGGGTATATCTAGCAGGTAATGGTGGACATTCTCAACTAAGAGAAAATATTGTTGATTGCCTTAGACACTTGATATAAGTGGGAGGGTGGGGAGGTTGTGAGATAGCCGTACCACGCCGCTCCGGATGAGAAATGGATCCGGCCGAGCCATATGACGCATGTGTACAGTGACGCCTTTAACACGCTGTCGGCGCTAGAGGCTTAGCCCGCTGCAGGTATTAGCCGCCTCTGCGCTACAAGATCTTTGATTATCCATAATTGCAGATACTACGTAATGGATTTTCTCCTATTTTAGACATTTATCCTATGCCGAATAAGCAACTGCATTCTTTATTGTATCTACTATTGTTAAATATCTCGTCCCGTCGCATTTACTAATGAAATACGGCATTGTTGCTATTACTACAAAGACTACTGTACTATAGCAATTAGACTATTTATTACAGGGAATAGCTGCATCACTTGCATTACAGGAATCATGCCACCCTGTCTCACCGCGCTTAAATTTAGGCAGTATTAATGCACAAGGTAATTCATGCTAATCCCTACGCGAAAAGACAGGGATATTCGCTTGACGTCAGCTATATTTAGCTCTCACTACTCCTTTACGCGTTTTGAATTATTAAATTCTCGGATGGCTTTAGCCTCAGGTGTTCTAGTAATACTTCCCCCAGGTTCGTCTAGGGGCCCCGGACAGTATCCCTGGTGGAACTTTAGAGCGTTTAACAATACAGCAAGAGAGCAGGCTTATTGTTCGTAAATCTAAAGCTAAAGTGCACCACAGAGACATTCAGAGGTCGCTTTTGGTTTCGAAACTAGTACCGAGCGAGACAATAACGTGGACTTCAAATTGGCGAATGCTCCAGGTTGCAAGTCCGTACGTTTTGTGATTATGTCATTTGAGGATGTAAAATCCTTCAGCTGTAGGATAGAACAGACTGGTCCAAACGTAAATCTAGTAATTCAGTGACGACTATAAAAATTTAGTCAGGTATCCTTAAGCCTCAATGTCGTCGTAAACTTTGACAACGGAATCACTGCTTCAGGCGTGCTTTTGACTACATACATCGTAAGTCCGCAACCTGCATTTCCATATGCCCTTGTAAGAGTTCTGGTCTCGAATAGGAAAGAGTCTGGTGGTTAACCAAAAATCTCAAAAAAGAAACTTAAAGTCTAGAGGTATAGAGAAGTGCCTAGGGTATTACTTAGTACGAGGCGATACTGCAGGTAATGTCTAGAAACCATGCAATCTTTTGGCCTGGTCAAAAATCTTTACACCCCCTGTCAGTATTCCGCTGCTTGATAGATGCCCTGGACCTTGCTCTCTTGACGAGGTTGGTTCTGAAATGTTGGTGGTACTTTAGAGTTTTGTTGTTCACTAGCTGCTGTTCGCTTGAAGAAATAGTAGTTACACGAGAGTCTGGGTCTAAAGTAAATTTCTTGAAATCAAAAACAATAGTCTTGAAAGCACTCCTAGTTTATACACACTTTCCCATCTGTTTCCAGATGTAGCACTTTAGTGGTCCACTAACTGCTAATTGGTATTGGCTGGCCAATTATTAGTTGACAGTATGTCTTATTGTCTCTTTGTCAGCTATCCACTAGGACCTGGCTGGTTTTCCCGACCCAACGGTCTACCAGTTTTGGTTGGCAGCATGGAAGTATTAGTCAATACTCTGGGATCGGCTACTTTGTCTACTAACTGTCAATTGCGAAACTAATCCGTTAAGGGTCTCAAAATAAGGGTGATCTCTTAGTTGGTGCAAACTCATACAAAGCAGTAAGCAACTCTTGTATATAAAATGAACCCGACAATTAAGAAATTTTCTTGTTTCATATTTGGAGTAAGTGTCTGATACTGGTGAGAAACGCCATTATAGCACCCTATGTACCAGGCACGAGCAATAATACTCATTTTTTCAATTTGCCAAGTTTTGTTCCTCATGGTTCAATAGTTACGGCATCTGACGACGATTTGTAACCACTTCTGGAACCAAAAGATTCCAGGTAGGGAAGCTTTTTATCAATGATTCACGAAAACCAAGGTCTAATTATCATATTGGTTGAGCTGTTAGTATATCTTTCGTTGAAGCTCGAGATTGTAGAGCTAAGAGTCGGCCCCCCACACATGTTGTGAGGGTTAACTAACTAGCTTTTTTTCCACCTGCCAGTAGGGTATATGCACAGCTTGAAAGCCCGTTGGTAATTGTTATTTTAATCGAGAAATCATTTGAGGTTCACCTTGGGCGTTTATAAGAGGAATACACAAGTGGTCCTGGAACGGCCAAGGTCTGGCTTAAAATAGGGAGCACGCATTTTTTTCGGTCTTTTCGCAGACTACGTAAGAATCAATCGAGTCTTATAATTGAAGTCTCAATACCCGGCAGTCAAACCTGTAGACTTTTAATGTCAGCTACTTTTATAGATATTCAGCGTTGACTTGTAAATGCCACTAAATCATGACCAAGCTTCAACCCAATCAATGCATCAGTTATATTTGCCCCTAAGCCACAAATTCCTCGTGGACCATAGAACTAAGCATCCGTTTAAGTTGGCCATTCAAATAACTCCTAGTTCAGCACATCGATGGAGATACGCGTTTCTATGGGGGCCTCGCCTGCCCAATGGGGAAACCAGAAGCGCTAGACTCCCCAGACTCTACTTCCCACTCTCCACCAATCCGAAGAGCCATTTGCATGTATTCATCCTATAATAAACTGCATCAACTCCTACTTTGCATATCCTATGAAATCAACATAAGCAGGGTGAGTTTGGGGCTCAGCCATTTTACTGAGGAAACCCCTGAACCCTCTACTATTCTTGTCCGATTTATAGTGTAGCCTACCAAGGTAGCACCTGCGACTATCCGGAACCTGTTTAGAGAAAAGGCGATTATTCAGGTCGGGTCTAATATCCCTATCTCCGGCCCATAGCTGCGGTAGTTTTTGCCTAATCCGGTATAGGTATACTGATAAACGATGAGGTGCAGGAAATCGGTTTTGAAGCGTGGGGTGAAAAGTTTCATTGTTTGATACCTTACTAAAACATGCAACCAGTCGTCTTTTACGGGATACAACTTCTCAGAGCTCACTAAAATATTCTTTTTTTCTTTATCCTCGGTTAATCTATAAATAGAGCTCGAAATCCTCAAATAATTCCTGCTCCATTCCCCGATCTCTATCCACCTACCACTACCATTGTCACCCGTGCCACCAAGTTGGTGGGTTCACAGGTTTTCACTGCTACCAGCTATGAGTACTGTATCTGCTAGAACTTTATGCTAGACGGTACGATCAAGTTGGAGGTCAAGTTGACCGGATTTCTTAACACCCACGTCTTGTCTGACAACGAGGAGGCTGGTCCATGGGTTACCTGTGTCTATCCTGATGTGTTAGCCCACAACCACCGGTAAATTTTGTCTTTGCGTCTTCACCCGCGTATTGACGGCGATGGTAGCTGCCACTTGCTCTGATGTCAAAGTTTCCCCACATCCATTAGGCTCGCTGGAAAATATGTACAGGAACGGGTTCTATGCTGAAGAAGACTGTTTTCAAGACCGTGAAGGAGTCCTTGACCAATTATGAGTCGTCTACGGGACAGAACATGGGATATTTTCGACCCGAAGTCTATCAGTCCGTACTTGGGTAAACCGGCTTCTTACAAGTTGATTTTCTCTCAGTGTCCACCGCTTTTGGCAAAGCCAGTCTCGCTTGTGGATAAGAGAGCCTCATGGGCCTCTACTCCGGTCCAGGTTGTTCCATACAGGGAAGATAGATTGTATCCTTCCGGTGTGCACGTTCCACAATATTCCGGTGATGGGGTCAGAGGGATGCACGAGGGGACAGCTGATAGCAATGCCAACATCCAGAACACTGATGTTTTTTGTTCTTCCACTCCTCTGATATAACGCACTTCCCTGCTCCCAAAGACTTCCCATTGATTCCTGTTGAGCCAATTTCCTTGTTGTTGAAACCGAAACATTTCTTTACCGAGAACCCGGCTTTGGATATCGTGCCTTCCTACGCTTGCACCACTGGTGAAGCCAAAGCGGCCGCTGCCAACGGTGGGATTGTGGTAAAGTCCAGAACCGGTACCACGTTCACTTTAACATTCGAAAGGATCTATGGGTTTATCGGCGAGTGCTGCAAGTAGGCTGTTACCTAGGAAAAGCCCCCAGTGGGGTTTCCGATTGTGATCTATCTAACGCTATGCTTGAAATTTATTATGGCCTATACAGAAATTGCTTCGCAGTCACTTTATCTAGTTGGTTTAGAACTGGCTGTTCGTGCTCAGATTTTTGTTTGCCAACCCGTATGAACTTCGCCTTGAGTATTCTAGCATGAAGATTGAATAAGGGAGAAGGTCATACATCACTCAGACTAAAGCCAATCTGCGTATCCTTCGCATTCGTATAGTAATCCTTGTTTGTTGATTTTTACGCCGGTACCAAAGTCCAGGCAATCTATCTAGGATGGAATATGATATCAGTCGCTATGGCTAAATCACAGACGACCCCAGACCGATGAAACAGCAGGATAGGAGAGTCTGCCAGACCTGGGTAGATTGTCGACACTCCTAATCTTGGGCATTGTGGCCGAGTGGTTAAGGCGAGACACTCGAAATGTCTTGGGTTTACCCGCGCAGGTTCGAATCCTGCCAATGTCGCCATGATTTTTTTTAGTTCGTTCAGCTTTTACCGAATAGTGTCCAATATCATGTTGGGGTTCGTTTCGATTGAAATGTATACTCATTGACCGAGCGAGCCAATTGTGGCAGGCGCTGATCTGATTCACCCTTTACATACTATACCATCTCCTGATTATTTCTACGTTCAGATGTATATTTCATCTATTGCTATATGTACAGCCAATCCACTTAGTATATTGGAATGGAATTGCGGTTGCGGTCCAACTCCCAGCCCATCATTCTGGTGCACGCAAGCAACTTCTCTCTCGCCTGGATGACAAAGTGCTTGGCCAACCCGATCTTCCGGAACTGGTTCCCGTCGCTGGCTACTCTACCATCGCTGCCAATAGTGGGCAAAATGTTCTCACCGGCACTCAAACTGACGAACAACGTGAAGGGGACGAACCAAATACAGATACCAAAAAACGCCGCCACTTCGGAAAACGTAGGCAAGGGCTGCTCTTTGTACCCGTCGGCTAAACGCTCCTGTAAGGATGGAATGTGGGGATTACTGAAATGCGCGAACCAGAAATAGTGGTTGATGAGCACAAGACCGCACGATATGAGAAAGGCCGCATCGGTAAAGTGCACGTAAGGAAACCTCTTCAAGTTCTGGTAGTAGATATAGTAGGAGAATAAGGACATAAGGACTAACTTTAACGGAAACCCATCAAACATGTAGAGGGAGAGTAAAAGCCCAATGTTGGCAAAGATCATGCGCTGGAGAAAACGCTTTGTGGGCTCAGAATGCTCCTCCACAAGCTCCGAAAGGTAGTATAGGCCCAGTGCAATAGCGAGGGTTAGCAATACTAAACCGACAGCAATTCCGACATAAGATAGGATCTGGAGGATCATGTTAAGGTGATCTATGGGTAGACTTGGAGAGGAGATAGTGCACGACGTGTTCACACGTCTTTAACAACGCGACGCCAAACGTAATCGTAACGCGTTTCCGCTTATGGAAACCCGTAGACACTGGCTTATGTAAGCGGTTAGGGGCACGTGCCCGGTAACACTGGCGGTTGCCGCAGGGACTCTTTTTGAACAGGGTCACATAGCGCAGGAAGATATGCAAACATCTACAAAGTGTCCTGACGGCAGTTCCCCCCTGTTGATACTGTAGCAGATGCTAGCTAGATCAACAGTGAGGGTTACCCCGGATTTAATTTACTGGATTACCGGCTGGTTCTGCTAGGAACATGATCTAAGGGAACTTAGTATGCTATGAGTAGTTTGAATATTTAGGTGAAAAAAACTGAGACAGCCAGAATGTTAGTACCATGGCAAAAGGTACTGAGCTAAATAAAATAAAATTGCAGGGTGGTGTACGTTTTCAAGAAATAGTTGGGGGTTGCTAGTAGGCACCCAGTCTTGATATTCACTGAAATGACTTTAGTGACATCTGGACTTACGAATTGACGGTTTCGAGTGGTGTGACGTGGAGTGAGTGAAAACACCTGGCGCGATATATTCCGGTTAAAACTCCTTTGTCCTGACACTCCATTATTCGGGGATATCCCGTTTTTTTTGTTTGTTTTTTTGAAATCTAATACCTTGGCGATAAAAAAATATATATAGCTCAAAGTGCCTTGACTGGCCTAGGTTAGTGTACATTCTATGCTGCTACAGATACAATACAATAGATCCGGACTTTCTGATGGCTTTGGCAAGTTTGCACATATAAATTGCCCATATTACTGCAAAAGAGGTTTACGATACTAACGTAAAGATCTAACCAGTGGAAGGGACTGGAAAGGGGTTTGTGTGGGTCGCTCGTGTGTAGCACCCATACACTCATGAAGATATCTCACCTAAACGTAACGCCGACGGACCAGCTGCCCCTTGACCCATCGTGATAAATAAGCCACTGAGGATTATCTCGGGCGACATAACTGGCTTCCCATCTCACTTGCTGTGTGAATAGTCCGGAAAATCTAATTTTACCCTGGTTTAAGTCTCTGTACTTACAGACACTTACCCGGAAGGTCATCTCTTCGTGCCAGGTGCATATGGTCACGACTGACCCCTTACTCAGGAAAACAGATTGTTGCAGTTCCTCGCCTAAGGTCTGTCTCATTTGAACCTTATTATGACGTTTAAGAGCTTGGAAGAAACCCTCTTGTCATATTATCTGATTCTCGGAAAATACTCATCCTGAGAATGCCTTTAATAACAATGATTTTCCGGCACTGGGGAGAAATTTATATAGACGGGAGAGGGATGTATATAACTGACAATGAGGGGATGACGCCCCCAGCTGCCCTAAAGCCCCAATCACATGCAGCCCCGCAGGACGAGAGTGGTTCTTGAGCCAAACAGGGAAAAACATGTACAATCTCATCCCAAAACGGTACATTTTACATGAGAAAATTCTTCATGAAGCCGCATATACTACCATAAACGGCTCACTAGATCGCCTTGCTGCATGTGCGGAGGCCATAGTCTATCCTTGGTGAAATTCTCACCATGTGGGGAATATATAAACCGCTGTTTCGCCGACCCGACACTGTTTTCTTTATCCATTACACCAATTGCTTCTTTTGCACCCTTTCGATGAAGATCAGCAGTTTATTTGTGACCGGTGCCTTGGTCACACGGGCTCTTGCAGAGTCCCCCTCCGGCAACTACGCTCCCGGCAAGATTGCGTGCCCCTCCCTCAATGACGGTGAATCCCTCGTGAGAAAGGCCAATGGCCTTTCCAAGGATGAACAGGAATGGGTGGCGGCGCGTCACGAAAAGACCGACGAAGCATTGCTTAACTTCCTCCAAAACGCCAACATGACGGATTTCGATGCCTCCACATTCCTCTCCACGCAGGCCAACAACTCCATCAATATCGGTTTGGCCGTGAGTGGTGGTGGGTACCGTGCGATGCTCGTGGGTGCGGGACAGCTTGCGGCCCTTGATAACCGTACGGAAGGTGCTATCGAGCACGGGTTGGGTGGTTTGTTGCAGGCAGCCACGTACTTGACCGGGTTATCGGGGGGTTCGTGGCTCGTGGGGACGTTGGCAATGAACAATTTCACGAGTGTGGAGCAGATCTTGGATGACGGGGTCTTGTGGAACCTCACCACCACACAGCAGTTGTTAAACACGTCTTCCGGCTTGACTGGGGTTATCAGTGCGATTCTTAGTGACAACAACACCGAGTTGTATGACCACTTGAACTACTGGGAAGACAGTGATGGGTTCACCGGGATCAAGAACGAAATAGCCGCCAAGGTTGCTGCGGGTTTCAACACTACCCTCTCCGATGCCTGGGGCCTTGGCTTGTCGCATGCGTTCTTCGAGCCAAATGACAACAACTACGGTGCCCCGCTCTTGTGGACCGACTTGAGAGACCGCTCCATTTTCTCTGACCACGATATGCCGTTCCCAATTCTTGTGTCGGTTGGTAGAGAGCCAAACACGTTTGTCACCAACGAGAACTCGACCGTGTTTGAGTTCTCGCCATTCGAGATGGGTTCCTGGGATCCGTCATTGAACGCGTTTTCTGACTTGAAGTATGCGGGTACCAACGTCACCAACGGTGTGCCAAACAGTGACCAATGTATCGCGGGCTTTGATAACGCGGCTTTCCTCATGGGGACCTCTGCTTCGCTTTTCAACACCTTCCTCACCACCCTTAACGGCACCACCTCTCTGTCAATTCCGGCCATATACCAGACCTTCCTCACAAAGTATTTGACTTATTTGCAAAACAGTTACCAGGACATTGCGCTTTGGTCGCCAAATCCGTTCTTGGGAACAAACTACACCACCAACGAAAACTCCAAGATCACCCACAACAGCTCGCTTTACCTCGTTGATGGTGGTGAGGATGGGGAAATCATTCCGTTACCGCCTCTTCTCGTGCCCGACCGTTCCGTAGATGTGGTATTTGCCTTTGACAACGACGCCTGGCCAAGTGGAACTGCGCTTATTGCCACCTACGAAAGACAGTTTGTCGAGCAGGGTTCTAGCATCGTCTGTCCGTATGTTCCAGACAGCTATTCGTTCTTGCAGCAGAACTTGACCGCCAGACCAACCTTCTTCGGCTGTGACGCCAAGAACTTGACCACCTTGAACGCAAACGGGGATATTCCGCCGCTTGTGGTGTACATTGCCAACCGTCCGTTTGACTTCTACTCCAACACTTCCACCTTCGAGCTCAGCTACACGGACGAAGATAAGAAGTTGATGGTTGTCAACGGGTTTGAAACCATGTCGCGTTATAACCTCACTTTGGATAGCGAATGGCAAGCCTGTGTCGGCTGTGCCGTCATCAGAAGAGAGCAGGAAAGACAGAACATAACCCAGTCCGACCAATGTAAGCAGTGTTTCGAGCGTTACTGCTGGGACGGAACCATCAGCAACCCAGCTACAGATGGCGGTCTTTTGGTCAACTTCACCATGACCGGCTTCACCAACGGGACCGGCTTGACCAATGTCACCAGTCCTTCTGGTGAAGAGGACTTGCTCAGTCTCGTACTTGGCGGTGGTTCCTCTAACTCTTCGTCTTCCTCTAACTCCTCATCTTCCTCTAACTCCTCGTCTTCCTCTTCCACTGTGAGCGCAGGTTCTGGCTCTGGCTCTGGTTCTGGCTCTGGTTCTAGTACTAGCGGCGCTTCCTCCTCCGCCTCATCTTCCTCCCACAAAGCTGCAGGTGTATCGTTGACCCCGGTTCTGTTCAGCGTTATAGGCTACGGTCTCTTGACATTAGTTGTGTCTGCCTTCGTCTCTCTTATGTAAACTTAACAGGAATGATATTATTTTGTAACTTGATTGTAGGTGTTGATACCAGATGGAAGGTATATCCGTAATCAAAAGGACCGTGTGGAGCTGACCTTAAAAGGTAAAGTCTCTAGGGCGAGTACCCCCTATGGTTGTAGTCTGCGCTAGAGTTGGAATGAAAGGCCAAATCCACCTTATTCCCCTCTGTTGAGAATATCAGTAAACTCTGCGTATAGCACTTAATTCAAAACGGTCTCTATTAAGCGCTTTGCCTCGGATAATCTGGCATCCACGGCCAGAATTATATAAACCCGGAGCGTCCAAGGAGATTGATTTTGTGCAAAAGATCTGGAGGGCAACAGCCAGACTCAACTTTGTGGATTATGAATGGTTGCCTATTTCTGGCACAAGATGGAAAAGCCAACCCGGACTCTCTTCCCTTTCCAAATGCATATGAGCAATGTGTATGGTCCCTGAAAGCCTGTCACTGGGGTCTCTTTGGGATCGTGGGGGAAGACATGCTACATGGTCTTCAGGATTATAGCAGCTATACTCTTACTAACCCCCCATCTGGTTACCCTTCTTGGCCTCTCAAAGTCAAGGGGCTGTCTACTGAAATGGCCTGTAGATTACAGGTAAATATTTTGGCCGAGACTCCACTTTACGTCGTTAAGGGTGCACAGCACACCTTGCATTGACGGAATTTGGTACACGATGCAACCCAATCTAAGCATCATAGCGCGGTATTGAGTATCTTGTCCATTGCATGTACAACCCAGGTGAACCCCTCGTTGCCGGTCCAGCCAGAAAATTCCGGCTTGGCGAAAGTGAAGAAGCATGGCAGTAAATCAAGGCACTTAGTGAACCCCCTGGCCTGCATTTCAGATTTTTGATTCCATAATCCTCTATGATAATAACGAGACGACATATCAGCTTCAGAACTGGTATCCTGGCCTTTAAGATTGTGCAGGACTAATTTCTGGTTAATTTTTGAGCCTGAAATCGGCCAACTCTTGGCGCATTTTCCACGCTGGCAGATCGGCACTGCAAGGCTGGGACGTAATGCCTTACAGGTGTACGAAAATCCGGAGAACGCATAATTTCCGACTGCTTTTACTTCACAGCCGAATAGAGAAGTACCTCGGGTAGATGGAGGAATTACTTTGTCGTGTGACAAAAGGCAACGAATTCTTTCTATAGTAAGTCTTGGCATCAATGTGTAACTCAATTCCAGGAAACTTAGACGATATCCTTAAAAGGTGGGCGGCTAACCTCATGCAACCGGGTCCTAAAAATGGGAGCGCAGCTGTGAAGACTAATATTTAGTCAGTTCTAGACGGATGTAATGCTGAACTACATGACAGCTATGGAGACCGATATAGTAGCGGATAAATGTGGGTGGAAAGCTTCGTATACGGTAGAGCATTTGAAATTCAGATCGGCACTAGTTTCCCTCACCCTTTTCAAGGGCAATGGGATTGTCAGAGGAGATAAATTATTCAGCTGGATTCTAGAGGGTAGCGATGCATGTATCAGTCCATATATGTACAATCGCTCGACTCACGTTACATAGGCCAAGTTTATCTCTGAGCACTGGGCGAAATTGTTTTCCATCTATTGTATCTCTGGAGTCCCAGCTTTTTGAATTTTCAAATGTATAAACTTCCTAAGCTCAGCTCCGTGTATAGCGATATGTATATATTGGCCATGGCTTCTGCGTACCCGGTAAAAAGATTCTTTGCTAACGGGGAATAAAGGACTTCCTGTGGTATAAGTGGCGAGAAGCGGATGTGGATCCTTAATTTCTAAGTGCCGTTAGTTTGCCTGGCTAGCTCAATCGGTAGAGCGTGTGACTCTTAGCAGTACGCGATCACAAGGTTGCGGGTTCGACCCCCGCGTCGGGTTTCGATAACTTCTATTTTTGACCTGCAGATCAAAAGAAATTTGACCACACCTGTCAGATTTTTTTCTCGCCCTTACTCCCTTCCACCAATGGATTCCATCACAATTTCGCTTCTAATAGGATTAGCCCTTGGAAAGAACTATGTCATAGCGTCGGTTACTCCAGCCAAGTCTGTGGAACTTATGCTCCAAGACGCAGTCACGTTGGGTATTGGTTGCAGTGATTTCAGCCTCTCACCCCACACTACCGTGGAACACATCCAGAAGATCATTGAAGAACTACAAACCCCAAGGAATTCACACCACGTGATATATGTCACAGGTCTCGAAGAAACCCCACCTTCAGTGCAACTGTGTCTCCTCGAATATCTCAACCAAAAGGAGCGTGTGAGCGGCTTCTTTGCTCGTAACCAAGAATGTGGAAGAACCCCGATTCTAGTTCCGGTGTACCGCATAGTGAAAGATACCGAAGTGAATATCCCCCCGCCTTTGACTGTGAAATTTTTCTTCAAACAGTACCATTCGTGTGCTGAGGGCAATAGGGAACGTCCCCTTACCTCTGCAACAGAAATCAACGACGTTTCCGGAGGTGTCACCAGACAGCTTTCCAGAGCGCTTTCTAAACAAGTGTCCCGCCCTTCTGTGGTCGAGTCTTCGGGCTTTGTTGGCAGGGTACTGGAGCTTGAAAAGCTTATCCAGGGTGTGGAAGTCACGTCCGAGGTCCGCCGGTACTATGGGGATATTATCCTCCTCACGCGCAACCATCGCTTGGTGCAAGGAGGGTTACCGTTTACGGTATATAGCGATTTTGAGCAGTTTTTGAAGGTCATTTGCGCGATTCACGACTACAAGTTTGCCATCCCAGCAATGGTGAAGTTGACGGCAATGAAGTTGCTCCCGCTCAAGGTGAAGATGATCTCAAATGTACAGATGGAACCGTCTCTACACTGGGGCTCGAACCAGGAAATTGTGGAGTTCTACTACGAAAACAGCAACCCTGAGCTGATTGTCGCAGGAGTCTTGAAAACCGTCACCCCTCCAATCTGAGGGGGCTATGGCTGGCGACCGCGGTCAGGTAATGACCGTGTGGTGGGTGAAATCAGAATATTGCCCTACAATACTTACCCGTATTATGATAACCGAAGTAAAAAAAAAGGTTCCATGTCTGTCCTTACGGTTTGGAGATCCGCCCATACGGCTAGGCACGTGTCGGTTTACACGCGTTTATGCCAAGGGTTAATCGGTTGCGATTCCTTGCAGACCAAAAGGCAACAACTAGAGGAACTGGCCCAACAAAAAATACGCCAAAGAGGAAGTGTCCCAACAAAAATCTAATCGTTGTCACTCCTGGTAACGAAATACTGGAAACAGCCCAATTGTATCCCTGTACGTGATTCTGGTGTCCTGGTATCTTCCCCAGGCTGTTTGATAGGTGATACTACCGCAGCTAGTGTATAAAAAGTTGATGTTTTAATCGTCTATCCTGCTTGCCTATAAGTCATGCAGTTTTAGTCAACCACGTGAAGGGGCCACTTCTGATGTATACATTCGCTCCATCACCAGTCTAAATAGCTAACAGTTTAAGGTTATACTCCCGCAGAAGCTCTGCACTTTTTGGTTTAGTTGATGCTTGGTTGAATACAAGTCTTGGTACTTATCTCAGCTCCGATGAGCTCTGATGGGCTCTGATGGGCTCCAATGATGTGCCTTGATGATGTGTGAGCAGCGGCTCATAGTCAATCGTGACTATTTCACATGCACCACTGATCTCAATAGATACCGAGAGTCCTTGCTTTCGCATAACTAAATGCACCGCTGCAAGGCAGGAGCCTGAGTCTTATTTTCCCCAATGACAACTTTAGTCACGTCCCGCAATCCCTGTAAACTACTGGCCAACAGCATATCTTAACTCAATGTCGAAAATATGAATACGTATGTAACTACAGCAAACATATAGGTATTCGTGCATTATTCAGATACGTGTTGCGGCACGAATTCACTTAACCAAAAATCGTTTGTCTGGGCTCGATAAAATGCGTTTATGCGACCCCACGTTGTACGCCGAAAACTTGTACCTCATCGGTGGGGACAGATTCCGTGGAAAGATTCAGGATTTACTGTCCTAATCGCTTGCCTCGAAGATACGGGTAATTGAGGATACTTTCCTGGTGCGGGTCCTGGGAATCGAGTCAAGCTGGTGCCTGTTTGGTAATCAGATGTCTGTGTGGAGTGAACGTGCCTCCTGGTCACGGCAGGGGTGGGATATGTATATCAGCTCGGGTGAGACTAGACAGTCTGCTAAAAGTTTAAAAGGTGCATCGACAACCCTAGTTTATTGCAAAAAAAAAAGCCAGTACAGATGGCTAGGACAACCCCCCTCTGGTAACTATCGTTGTTTTGGGACTCCGTCTGTAGATCAGCCACAGTTTCGTCACAGTGAGCGTGGACATGCGCATGCGGTGATCTTTCTTGTGCGGTTACGATCTGCGCTACAATCAACATTATCAGTTGTTTAGATAAAAGCCCAGCAATTTCAAGTTCTACTTAAATGAAACACTTGATGAGAAAAGCTGGCAGCTGATCGATACGTCACCAGCCACGCATCAATCAGCTCGAGTTTAATGAGTGGTGCCACAAATCGGTAATTTGAGTTTAGTGGGTGGTAACACAAATCGTTAGTTTGAACTTAATGATTAGTGACACAAGTCGTTAGTTTGAACATCGTAACCGGAACTAGGTATGCTATTATGTAGGCTCTTGCCGGTGTAACCTTACCCCGCTCGAGGCTTTTGTGCCCCCTTCTAAATTTCTCGCTAATTAAATCACTACTGACAAGCAAGAGTTTCTTATCGCATAATTTGGCTCCACTGAGCTAAAGATTTAAGTTTCTGCGACTGTCTGCTGGATGGCTAGGAGGAGAAAATCTCACAGGACGAAAACTAAGCAGCGCTATGCGCAGACTGTATCCAACTGTTACCAGATCCGGACACCATGAGCAAGATATATCGGGGGGGGGGCTGATTACTTTAGATTTGCGTGGATTTACGTACCCGACTATATATCACGGCCGGATTAGATTAGTGCTATCCCCCGATGTTGAGAGTCTCTATAGATGCATGTACATTGGTATCTGTTTGTCTTCATGCTTGTAACACATATAGCCATATATGTATAGATACGTATACATGAATTCAGAGCCAAGGAGTATTAGTTTTAATATACAATCTATAACGAATTTCGGTGTAGCGCAGTGGTGCTATAGTAAGTTGTACCGTACATTGTCAATCGTAACTTAAGTCGGTTAGATACCTAATGGTTAATGTATCAGTTATTGTATTTTACGTATTTGTGTTTCGACCGTTGTACTTTATACTTTCGTATTCGAACGATTGCAACTTATATATTCGTATTTATACGATTGTAATCTATATATTCGTATTTAAATCGCAGCAGTTATAGATGACCTGAGGATGTATCGTTATGTATACGCACGTATAGGTACTTTATAATTGGCCTAAATTCTTAGTTATATATATATATATTTGAAGGAGTTAAAATTATATATTACCTTCCCGCCTGGTTGCAATTTCGCAGATATTACTATGTGGGGCTGAAATTCCATACATTACGATGCAAGGTTAAGGTTTCCATACATTGCTATGCTTCTGCTAGTGGCTCCATATATTTACTCAACAGTCATTCATACAAGATCTGCTTTTCATGGACTAAGGCGGCTGTGCAGACTTTTGACAAACGACAGATTCAATGACAAATGCAAAGCGCAAACAATAGAACGGCGTGATATCTCTTTAGAAAATCGCGCATAGTCTAGCTCTTTGTGCCATAGTCCAGACTCTACGTCCGGCCAGAAATACAGAGGTGCTAGTTCAAGCCGAGATCCAGATAAACTTCCGAAAAACCATTACGCATGCGAAAATTACATGTGATGCCATTGTGGCCACCAGACCGAGAGGGGAGCTGAAGCAAGCTGCGGCTAAGTGGATTTCAATGGCAAGACCGGGGTATCTCTACCGCGTTTACAGAATCATCCATTTCTGGCTAACGACAGGAGGCCGTAGCTATGGCCCACAGCTCCACGTGTTTCATACACTGCTTAATAATATTAAACCGTTCCAATCACTAGCGGGGGAAGCTTCTCTCGTCACGCTTGCAGAACATGGCAGACAAGCCAGCGGACGAAAAGCGGGGACCGAGCCTAGATATGACGCCGTACGTGTGAATCCTGTGCACGCATCCTTAAGCTGCCGGTTAAATACAGGAGGCCTAAAGCTATGTGATAGTTCTAGCCTAAGTTCTTTCCAGTAGAGTCTCCAGTTCGCGTTTAGACGAGTACCTTGCTCTAGGCGATATCTGGTAGAACGTTCGCGTCCTGTTATCGAAATTTGAAACTACCTGGCAACCAATATTACGTTTACGATTCTGTATGCAGCTTCCGCCACCCTTGCTCCTTTTTTCATGTCTCATGCTGGCAGCGTCATGCGAGAGAAGAAATCCTTCAGAACGGTTGGTCCTGAGGAAGGTAGGGGCTCGGAAAACACGTCGAGAGATGGGGGTTGTCGCAGTCCCGAGAAAGGTTGTAGCTGTTTGTGCCCCGTGTCCCGAGCCGAACCTCCATGGTTAAAGCAGCTTTCTGAACGCCGCAACTAGACGGGAGATAAAAATGTGGCATATACAGTAGACTATATCTCCGGTAGGTGGCATTGGATGACTACTTTCAATGGGCCAATCTAGAATAGTGTCCCTTCGAAATTCTCTCGTACGCACTAGGCTATGGAAAGCCAGCCGATCAATGCATGGACGAATTGATACATCCCACTAGTCTAACGAGGGAGTGTGGGGCTCGTATTACTTGTCAGAGTTAGAAGCCTTCTGCATGTGCATGCATTTTATGCTGCTTTGCATGGCGCATGCGTGCGCATAATTGTTTTCCGGCTGGCAGCTCGATCTTTGGTCAATGGCTATCTCTTTCCAAGCTTACATGAATGAAATGAGGTTAGCATGCAGCAGCGTATGCTTTAACGCCTATATACACGTCATCTCTCAATGGGCAAATTTCATGCTGGAAAGAGATGGGTCTGCCCTTGTTTTTTTAGTCAACAGGGCCACTCCCTCATAGGGCACTATCAATCGCTTCGCAGCCTTCGAGAAGGCGGATGTGGTCCAGGGTCTTTCAGACTCCGAGAAGCACCCACGTGCATTCAGTTCAGAGCTATTTGAGTCTGTTTGGGTTTACGTTCTACAAAACCTAGAAAGAATCTGGATTACAGCCACCAAAACTATGTACTTAACAGTTGGTTGCGGCGCGGAGATTACATTTTAGCGAGAGGTAAAGAAGAAACTGTGAGGGACTAGTGACTATCCCATACAGGGCGCACCTGACTAGTGTGGATGCAGCAAGCATTAACCGAGTTGCAAAAACGCAACGAGCAGCTTTAGCATACGGCCTATGGTGGCGCAGTAGAATGACAGATGGAGGTTAGGCTCGCTCGGAGGCATGGTACAAGAGCAGTAGCGACAATGAGGCGCGATTCTGGAATTTACACTGACACGCTTCGACCAGGGGCACTACATAAAGATATATTAAATTTTCCGTTACCGTTTGCCTCGTAGCAAGTTATTGACACTCCTGTAGCCTGACTACACCGCATCCACGGTGGTCACCTTGATCTGGTTCCGCACCCGTCTGGACTTGAACTTTGTCTCCACGCGGGTATTTCTCCAGGAATCCACCGCCCTTTGAATCAACCCCCGCTGGCCGATAATCGCTTCACCGTTCAAAAAACACAAGAACCACCCGATTTTATTGCACTGTTTCTCGTAGTTGTACCTGTTTCCCGTGTAGCTCGCAGCGTCGCAGAGGGCACGCGGATACACGCAGTTGTCTACCATGTACTTTTCGGAGAGCTCACCGCTGGCGATCAACGCATCCACGTACTCTTCAAGGGAGGCGATATTCCGGTGCTTGCCACATTTAATCGTAAACTTCTTGATAATCTTTTGGGTGGAGTAGAAAAAGAGAAGTTTTTCTTCGCCCCCATTGGCTTCGTCGATAATCAAGTCGGGCTTGACGGAGGCGGGGATAGGCCCAGGCTGTGTCGTGTGCTCGGAGTCCTCAATCACCACAGGCTTCCGGAACTTCTTCGCGGGGCTCTTTCTTGGCTTCACGACACCCTTGGAGATCAGTGAGGATTTGGAGGTGTCCAACGCATGTCTCACCTCCATGGAGAACTTTCTGTCGTCCATCGGTGAGGGAAGAGGGGTGTTTTCCTGCACCCCAATCCCCTGGAAGGGAACGGGAGCCGCCATGGCCTCGTGACCGCTGTAGTAAAACCCCTGTGGAGCATGCTCGACAAAGGGAGCGTGCAGCTCTTCTGCCTTGAACGACATACCCGGCAAAGAGAGTAAGCTAGCCGTATCTGGTTGTACCATACCGACTGGCGAGTAAGCATCTATCAAACTGGTGTCAGCGTGAGAGTCGCAAGGGTCTGACAACCGGGCCTCTGGGTAGTAGTCGTAGGACGCACTTGGAGTCGGATACGAGCTCTGCGCAAGCTCTTGTGAGAATTCGGGCACCTGAGGGTAAAGGGGAGCGCTAAACGCAGAGTACTGTGGAAACGGCTCCTTCGTGCCGACAAGATACTGGCGAGAGACCTGTGGGTGATAGTAGAAGGATTGGGGCTGGGGCATCTGAAATGACACGTTTTGAGGGAACGGAAGGCAGCCATCCACGTATTGGTGCTGACCAAATGGAGCCAACTGTTGAAAGTTCGGCACTATGGCGTTGTTATAATACCCGGAAGGCACCTCCATGTTAAATGGCCGTGTAAACAGAAGAGGTTCGGGCTGCGTGTACAAAGACTGGTCTTGTGTAGAGTAAGAAATCATGACTTATAGTTTTTAGGTTTGTTGGTTAAACTGTCACAACTAGATACAGGCAGCGGGACCTCAACTACTTATAGAAGTCCTCCAAGGTGTTGGTCTAAAAAAGAAAGATACCTGCGACGCGTCACCTGTCTGGAGCCTTGTATAAGGCTTCGTCACGTACACTAGCTGCAACGTCCGCATATAAGCGTTAATCTATAGGTGCATCGGAAACGATCCTCCAATCCCACCTCCAGCAACATGAAGGTAGGCCTCACAAAGGCCGTGGTACTAAAGATATGACCTGCCAGATCCCACTCTGGAGGGATGTGCATATATGCACATGTGCAGATTGAGTTTCATGTAACCAGCGCGAAGCTTACGCATGGGCCTATTGTCGAACGTACATATGCATGCAGCCATGCGGGTGCTGAATAAAACTCCGTGAGGCATTAGACAGCCGATTGAGCCAGCACATGTCCACGTGCATAAGTTGGGTAGTAGGTCGATTTGCGACCTGCACCGAGACGGCAGTGATCGTCGCTAGCGTCTTGGGGCTTCTACCAAGTGTCTGCACCGCCTCTAGCTGCAATCTGCATCATTTGATATTATACATCCTATGCGAGTACCTGCGAACAACGGAGTTTAAGCGGAATGTGTCCGTGTAATTCCGCTATGTCAATCCTGTCTCCGGGTATGAGAAGCATCAATGCTTTCTGGCACGGCGTTATCTTCCATCTGGAGCCCGAGTTGCAAACTATAGCGTTGAAACTCATTTTTTTTTTCAGCTCGGAAAGGACGAATGGGCCTGCATTTGGCTCAAAACTCCAGCTATGTGCGGCTTAGCTAATTCAAACACTGCTTGCAGGCGACAGTTTCCACCGGGGGTTACGGAACTCTGGGACGAAGGGCTGAGATTCTACCTTTTCCTTTTTTTAGAAGACTGGGTGAAAGTTTAAATTCTAATCGGGACAATCTTTACCTAGGAAACGTGTCCGTGGATCTGATAAGGGGGGGTCGGGTCTAACGGCCATATATAATAACTCTATGGCATACCTCGAGTCTATGGTTTCCTTTATAGAGACTTGACCCTATATTGATGAACTGGCTTATGGAGACACCAGGCGTACTACTGAAGTAGATTAGATAGCATGGGAAGAGGCATGTATAGCACGGGGTATAATGGAGTACGGAATACCCTTTTGTCGTTCGATTACCCTTTGGTCGCTCGATTACCCTTTTATCGCTCGATCACCGTTTCGTCACTCGATTACCACTGCATGCAAGGCAGAATGCAGATGAGACCGTGATGGACTGTTTTTGAAGGATATAGGACTGTTTAACAAGGTGATTATGTAGATTGCTCCCCTGAAAGAGTGGTGATCAGTCTCTCTCGGAGGATACTGCAATTTATTGCTACTGATTTATCATTTCCCCACAATCCTAGTCACAATTATTCTCTTCTCCTGGTTAGGAGCGCAATCTATAGCAAAGTACAAAGTAATACCTCTACGCCGGGAAGGAGATACGCTCATTTAGCAATCTCCATTTACGAGCGACCTGGTAGGCCCGGGTGTCGAGTAATTGTGGTACTAAGGCTGCGGATATACTTCAACAATTTCAAAGGTACGATGCCAAAATGTACATGCGTACGCTGCACCAATACAATGATATCCGAGCCCAAGTTAGATATACGTCCGTTTTAGCCGGACTAGTCATAATTATTATTGATATAAAATTCATAGCCGCGAAAACGATGTGAGGGCACCTTATCACCGGGGATGGTAATAATGCTTTGGTTTCTACTCATCCATCCTGTGTGAAGCGTGGTGGCACAGCAAAAACACTGGGGATTCAACCTTTATAGAAAAACTACTTGGGGAATTGGTTTTATAAGCTCCTAAATTAATACCAAAGCAAGCGAATGAAACGCCGAGTTCCCCTGGATTCGATCTCGTAAATTTTTTTTTGAATCCCTACGTGAACCCTCATCGACAGGAAATGCCGTAAGGTGGGTTTCTCGCCATATGATATATGTAACTTTGCAACACTGATAAGATTTCTGATAATATAACAGAGTATTCTCATTCAATGATAAATGGTTATTGCTTGCAATTTTGTTTAACGTGGGTGGCCTCCATCTCAGCATGAGATGTGAGGACAACCGTGCCCGAAGTCACCATTCACCTCATACCAGGGACTGGCCAAAACTCTGCGTAAACAGGGTCGCATATTCCATGGGAAGGGGGATTTTGGCTGCAGCATTACGGTATGGGCGATAACTGTATTAATTGTGAAATTTTAAGACATGTGTGATGCCTCTTAAACGTATTTTCCCCGGACATCAGCAACGTGCATCCCATGAAAGGTAGTAGATAGCAACCCAGCAGGTAATCGGGGAGATCCGCGAATATTCGTATTGAGGCCCAAGGGGATCGCCCCTGTTACTTTCCCAGAAATGCCAATTCTCGGAAAGAGTTTCAGTAACAGAACCTGGGGCTAGGTCATGGCCAGGCCTTAGTTTGAATCTCAATTTATGTCATCATTCGTGCTGGTGTCCAGGCCTGGTGTTGTCGTGGGGACTGGGAATAAGGCAGACTGTCCCAACTAAAAGCTCAGAAACCCCTGGGGTCCTCTGGCATGATACAAACGTCAGACGCATACCAACCTAAGGTCGAATAGTCTCTTCCCTGTAGCCGTTGCTCTTGTATGCCTATCTTAAATATATAACTTGAGTGGCCGTTGTACTTCCGCCCCAACAAAACTCTATCAATTGAGCTGCTCCTAAAATCTGTAGCCTGTACGGCGGGTAAAGTAAGCGGATATCTTTTTGCAGGTCAAGTAATACCGAGGATCTCTGTTAATTAGACAGCGTCGTTTGGAGTACGGCGGCGATCTCTTTAGACCTGGCGTTGCTGTACTTGCTGAATGCAGAATCATACAGTATAGGCAAGACAAAGATCGGCAAGCAGTGCGCAAGGGACACATATCGAAGGAGATCTCCAGCCAATTCAAGGCATGTCCTCTTTCCGTAGTTATACCCTTTTGTACCAATAATGGGGATGATGAAGCGCAAGGCTGCTTAATCCGCGTACTATACGATGTGGGAAAACGCAAGCAGGGTATTTACATGCAGGTCTCGTACAGCAAAACCTCATACCCTAAAGGAATCAAACTCGTATGAAAATGTATATTTCACTGACTTGAGAGTATCTTGGTACATAGAAGGGTAATGCAAGTCATTTGCTTGGATCATCTACTCCTTTTGTGGAGTCCGAAAGGGTGTCAAATTGCAGCGTAACGCCTGCACCTCCGGCCGATCTTCACCCTAACTCGTCGATCCTTATGCTGGGATTGGTTAGGGAACTTAAAGTGGTTGCCACTGAATTTGGTTATTCAATTTAACGTCTAGTCCAAGTTACTGCCCGCATGACATCTTCGAAACGATTCTCGGAAAGGCCAGGAGCTTTATGCAACAAGCCCAGTTCTATACTAATAGGGGTATAATAGCTTCCAAGGAAAATCAGCCGCTTGAAATTAAACGACAATCCTTTTGGCAGCTTGTATCACCCAGAGCCAAGGTTGCTCTCTCTGGAGGTCACATCCCAGTCTCATATAAGCAGATAAGTCCCGTAACTGTCGTACAAGCTCGAAATCTCTACCCAATAGACTTTGAGCGATAATTTTTGCCAAGGGATTGTCGATTGGCAAATACCGTCGGGAGCGTCTAGAAACAGCAACTTGCAAACAAGCGCACTGGCTTATAAAACATTATGTCCCCTCGCCTCACAACTATAAATACATTTATTATACAACCCCTGCCCTACACATGCACCGTTGGCTAGGCCTTCACATAAGCATAAACAGGCGGTGGAATATACCGGACTCTTCGATCTTGTCGTTGTACCAGAAGCCCAACATGATGATAAAGTAGGTAAGGATCAAGATGCAGCCCTTAAAGTAGTTAGACTTACCCTCGGCGTAGACGTACGTGAACAAGTACACCGACATGATGGTGGCGATCAAGTCCCACTTCGGAAACACGAGGGTGAACATGCTGCTGACATTTTTGAAGTCGCGCACCACCGTGTAGATGATAAGCACGGGAATCTGGATAAGCACCACCTGCAAGGCGTAGGCAGAACCAATCTCCATTGAAAGCGCCACGTTCCCGTTGATGGCAAAGGAAATGGCGTTGAGGAATTCGGTAGTGTTCGGCACCAATGCAAACACCGTAAGCCCCAAGAACTTGGGGTTGATCGGAAAACGGTGAAGCACCACGTCCACAGTGTCGACCAAGATCTCTGCAATGACTGCGTACAAGATGGTGGCGCCCAAAAGGATGATTGTGGACTTTTGCTTAGACCAGTTGGGACCCTCGTGCCCTCCTGCCTCTTCGGTGGTGACCGGGGCAAGTACTGGCGTGTGCGCTGGCGAGGGCTTCTGAGGAGCTCTGACCCGTGTGACGGGGTTAGCACTAGGGACCTGGTTTGTGCCTGTGGCCACCGAACTAGGGTTTACGCCCGTGGAAGCAGCGACAGGGGTGGGGTGATCAAGAGAGAGCACCGAGGGCGTGGTATGGTGATGGATTGGAGCAGGGGCCTGGATCTGGCTAGCCCAGATCATGGCGGCATGGGTCCGGAGTGTAAACCAAAGACCGATACCGTAGACGATAAACAACGTCACGGCACAGAAAACCGAAAAGGGTCTGAGGAAGTCCGTGTACAACAGGTCGAGCACCAACGGGGGTTGAAGAAAGTGGCATTTCTTGCAGTCCCGGATGGCCTTCTCCCCCATCGCCGAAAGCTGGGACAAGAGCGAGGTGGTTTCACAGTCGATGCATTGAATTTCGTAGGAGCCATACATTTGGTGGAACATGGAGGGCACAAACATCACAATGATCGCAAACAGGAGCATGGTGGAGGATACGCCCGCGGACTTTGGGTTATACCGTTGGGTCTTTCGCTTGATAGCACCACCACACATGGACAAGCCCGGAAGAAGAAGCACGGCGGCGAGGATGGACCCGATCATTGAGCCCTCCACGAGCTTGGCCTTGTTCTGGTCGAGCGACACACAGTAGAGGAAGATCTCCACTACGGTAGAGAAAAACGCGTTGATCACCGCACCGAGGCCCATCGAGGACTGCGCCGAGATGGACGCCACGGCCTGGCCGATAAAGTACGCGAGCGGAATGATAGAGAAGAGACAGAGCCCGAAGATGAAGAAGTCGTCGGTGTACCAGGTGCGCCAGCCAAACGCCTCACGGAGCACGTAGTAGTCAAAGATGACAAAGAGTACCGATGACATGAGGTTGATAAAGAAGATGTTGGTCCCGTCGACGGTGTACTTGTAGTAGCGGAGGCCCGCAACCCTGTAGGTGCACACGAGAATGGCCTTCTTTTGCTGAATCTGCTCGTCGTTCATATTGCGTTCCTTCGGGAAGGAGAGCGCCAACGGATGGCGGCGGAGATGCCCGGTGAGGAGGTTGAGGATCTTGCCCATGGGGATGGTGAACACAAACATCCAGCAGACAATGCTGACAAAGTACATGAGCGGCTGAAACAAGAGGTAGAAATAGGCGTAGAACACGATCCGGCTGAGGTTCCAGTCCCCGCGACCAAAGAAACGCTTCTTGACCGCATCTTCGTCGTGACTGATGCTCTCCCGGCGATTTGAGGAGCCCTCCGCAATATCACCGAGCAATGGTTGGACTTCCGAGCGGCGCAGCGGAATGAAGAACAATCTTCCCTCCTCCTCGCTGCGCCACTTGCGGAATTCACTGACAGACCTTCCGTCATACACGTCTTCGTGGATGTAGTTCTCGTCCTTGGTTAAGAGCACGTACTTTCCGAAGGGAAACCACAAGAATAGGCCGAGGTCGAACCAGAGGCGACAGTAGTCGAGGTTGGACACGGTTCCGGCGAGCGATAACCCGAGGTTGAACAAGGCACCGAGACAGCACGCAAGAAAGAGGAGAACGCCGAAGGAAAGCGACCAGATGAGGTTGGTTAGATATACCCCCCACGTAATGTTCAATTGGTTCTGCTCGTGGATATCGTCCTCTGCCGCCTGTTCCACCGACCGCTTCTTCTTGTACAACGACGGTTTCCAGATCTTGATCCCGAACGGGTGGGTCTTGTTGATTGCGTTCTGTCTCTCGCGAAGGGTCATGGACTCCATGGAGTTGGTTGAGGAGGAGTCGCTGGGGGTCTTTGTCTCGCGCGAAATTTCGTGTTCAAGGATGAGCTCCTCAAAGTTATCGACCGAGTCCCGGCGCGGTGGCGACCCGTGCCCAGGGGACTCGCGCGGCGAATGGGTCGCAGAAGAGTCCTCGATAAACTCCAAAAGGCGGAGATTCAGCTCCGCCGTGCGAAGATTCTCGATAATGCTCGATTCAAGCTCGGCGGGACGCTTTCTGAGTGTGTTGGGCGCAGACTCATCTGTTTTGCGGAGTAACGGTGATGATGTGATCCTCTGACGAACGTTTGGGGAGCCTGGAACTTCCAAACTAGTTTTGCTGGGGGTGGTTACTCTCAGCTTGAGCCTGAACTTGAGCGCATCCGAGTATCCTTCGAGGTACTCGCGCTCCATTTCGTGGACCACCTCGTCCTCACCGTCATCTACGGAGAATACAAGTTTCAGCGACACGTTGCGCTTCATGTGGGGCCGTCTGGGTTTGGCCAAGCTTGCCACCAGCCCAACCTTGGGGGTCTGGGCCAGTCTGACCGAGCTGGGGTATGTGTTGGCGGCGGCCATGAGCGGTTCTCCGCTCTCACTATCTTTCTTCAGCATCGGTAATGAATCGTGGCTTTCAGCGGATGTATGGGAAATAGCCATAAATATAACCAGAAACGAGGTTTAGCAGCGGAAGGGATACAAACATAAGTGAACGATAAGAGCGCGCATTGTTTTGCCGTGCCGCAGGCCTGCAGCTAAAATTAAACATAGCGTCATACACACGCGATCATGTCGAAACATTGGGGGGGGGCGTGGATTAATAATCCAAGTCGACAATTGTGCGGTATATTTGGTTTGAGTCGTTTAGGAAATTAAATCTGAGTTGTTCAGTCATAATAATTTTGTCTGATAAAATTGTTGAACAGGGGGTGACGACAGCGGGATGGGTAGTCGTTACTCACCCCGCTTTATTGGACCGCAATCACTCAGGTCAGGCTCCGAAGGGAGGTTGGGCATCCTGAATTCGGAGGAGCCAAAAAAAGCAGTAGATTTAGATTATGATCTATGGCTAAAGGAATAATTGACCAATCCTTATACCGTGTTGTGAGGCGATGGTGTATTGACGGTTCAGGGGGTGGCTGTATGCGGCTTAAGCCCATCTAGTGCCTTGGCCGATAAAACAAACAAGTTTTTCGTCCCTTGTAGCAGAGTTTTTATTCTGTGCTCTCGGGCAACAATATTATCTCAGAAAACAATGTTTTATACTTGATAAAGTGCTAATATATATAGGCAAATTCAGAGAGGATTGGTGATTTTAAGATACGCGATACAGTGCCCTTTTGAATCATATCTTTACCGATTAACAGATCCCCGACGCCAAAAATAAGCTAAATTATGCTTCAAAAGAAATATTGTTTTAGCTTTATAGTTAACTTTGTTTTCGTTTTGGCTTCTCTTTTTTTTCATTTTGTATTGTAATATTATATATAAACCTTTGAGTCTATTTTTTGTGTTACATATATAACCAAGATATATATATCTTTGCTAAAATTGAAAAATGGAAATTAGTAATATTGTCTATAGTCTCAATCTAATTAGCTATTTTTCTTTCTAGGGGATATGAGCGACTACTTTATACATTATATGTAATCGAGAGGAGGGTAGGGAGGTCTTTACACACCATATCACACGTCACTCGGGACGGGAAACGGCAGTTGATGCATAACATAACAGTTTTAAAATATAGACTATTGGCTATGCATGATGACGTACACAGTTGGTCCTTACCGCGAGTTGAAAGAACCATAATGACACCCCAGTACCAACTAGAGTTTTATATTCCGGCCCGATATGGATTTCTCGAATATCCACGATAAACCACCATTGAATGTTAAAGAACACCTTTGTCCAACTTGTGAGTATGTCCTACTGTCTGTTTGCCTCAAAAACGCGCTCAGCCTTGTATGTCGCACGTGCCGATGCACGAACGTGATCGTTATTCAATTAAGGTTCTAGACCGCCCAGCCTTTACTTCGGCCTTCGCGTAATTTTTCGTTTCTTTTGTTTGCTAACAAATTTTTACACGCCCCATCCCTTTGGACCTGCCAGATCACCTTGGAAACAAAGACACGAGACTTGGTCCATATTGCAATAAGTCTACCACAAACACACTCTGATCTGTCCTTATTGGTTACTTTTGTCCTTGCAGGCTACCCTAGACTAGAGTTTGAAATATAATCGAGCTACTTTTTGGATCTTACACAGCCCGGCTATTTTTAGACCTCGGAGCAACACAACAAGCCGAAGACCTCTAACCAAAGTTGCACATTTTTTCTCGCCTGAAGTCGTCACACTCATTTATCCTCGTTTCTCGTCCAAACAGCCTGTCACATCATATATCATGCTACACAGAACGTACTTTTTGTTGCTATTGCTGAGCCTTGCTGCCTCTGCCATTGCTGCCGATGCCGTTGCTGCTGTCACCACTCCAGTTGTCGGCGCTGTTACTACTGGTACCACCACCGGCACCACTACTCCAGTTGTCGGCGCTGTTACTACTGGTATTACCACCGGCACCACTACTCCAGTTGTCGGCGCTGTTACTACTGGTATCACCACCGGCACCACTACTCCAGCTGTCGGCGCTGTTACTACTGGTGTCACCACCGG